CATGGAAAAATGTAATGCATTACACTTAATTACCATTACATTTTCAATTACCCCATCCCTGTTTTATTGGTTGTGATTTTTGGTGCGATTGTTATTCTATGAACTGTTATAAATGTTTGATCATATTTATGCCATTAAACTGTTAGGACATAGTTAATATGTCTATTGATATATTTGTGAACATTTCTTATCTTTTAATTAAAGAACTCAACCTCCATTAAAATGAAGTGTCTTTGAACTTTTTTTTAATAAAATGCTTATTATAATTTTTTAGGGGGTTTCAAACGTTTAAAACTTCTGATGTTTTATCCAATTTGTGTCATGATACTGTTTATATAACAATAGCAATATGCCTATTGAGATTTTATGAAAGATTTGTTTTTACATTTGTTGTATATTTTTGGAAATAAAAAAAACCTTACCTTACCATTATCATGATTAAGATGTCTTTAACTTCTCTTGGACTTTATTCGTATACACTTTGGGTCAACATTTTACAATTATATATTATTATTCGTCCATTCTTTTACTTTTATATCGTTTTATAATTATCAAAACAACTACCTCAACTATTTCATTCACCATTTTCATTATTACAAAAACTACCTCCAACTTTTTTTATTTAACATTTAATTATTACAAAAACTACCTCAAACTATTTTATTTTAAAATTATTATGATTGTTGGTATTATATTTATTTGTATACAAACATATGGTATATTTTGTTTGTGTTTGTATAAACTTTTCTCTTGGAGAAATTAAAAAAAGTATTATTTACTCTTCAAACAACCATGACAACTGTTTGATTCAATTTTTATTCCATCATACTACTCATTTTATAATTATAGATATTGTCTCATACTTATCATTATGCAAATTTTATAATAAGTATATATTCATATTTTACTGATACTATTAAATCATCATCTAAAAAAATCTTGTTTAATAATTAAAATTATCAAAACTCTCCGTTTTTTCATGATTATTGATATAACCTCAGTGTTGGTATTTTGATCTATATTTTATTTTACTGTTATATTTTTTATTACTATTGATCCTAAAAATAAAAGAAATAAAAAAATTATATGTTCATTTATAGAAAATAAAAAAATAAAAAATAAAATTTTTTGTTTTCGTTTTCATTTGAGTGTTTGATATTCAACAAAATATGTTTCGAAATTTCAACTGTGATAAATATTGTACTTCATACCTCAGATAAGAGACTATATGATATCAACAATTCTTTTGTTATATCTAGACTTTATATTGTGTTAATACATAGATCATACAGTTTTAAAAGTAATTCAAATTAATAAACTACAAAATGATTATTAATCTCTATGTCAGAACCAATTTAATGATGTCCAGATATGTATGTATGTATGGTCATGGATATTGATTTTTCAAATAGACATAATAACTTCAGGCTTTAGACACAGCAAGTACTCTATATATGTATTAACACAGTCAGGGTTCCTAAACAGGTTATTATATACAGTCCGCCAAAAGTTAAGCACCACCTATTTTTATTGCATCGAAGTTTTTTTCATTAAAAAAAAACAGTTAATACTCGAAAAAGAGAAGATATTCATGTAGCAATTTTGCTAACATATACCATAAACAAACCGTAGACTTAAGTTTGTTCACGTATGCAGGTTCTATGCATTTGAAATTTGCATTCATAGAAATAGTGAAAATTACACAAATCAGAAACGGAATTTAAGTTTCACTGTGATTTTATTTTTTTACAACAATTAATCACCCAATATCATTAAAAGTCTCTACAAATAATCTTTGTTAATTTTAGTTTCTTGTGTACAATTTGGAGTTTAGTATGGCGTTCATTATCACTGAACTAGTATATATATTTGTTTAGGGGTCAGCTGAAGGACGCCTCCGGGTGCGGGAATTTCTCGCTACATTGAAGACCTGTTGGTGACCTTCTGCTGTTGTCTGTTCTATGGTCGGGTTGTTGTCTCCTTGACACATTCCCCATTTCCATTCTCAATTTTATTTGGTATGTTCGGCAAATTTAATGTCAATATCAGAGTCAATAGGATGTGTAACACCCTCTCTTCCGGTACAGTTCCATATCACGGAGTCTCATACTCTGTACAAGCCTTCTGAACTTTAGTTGAGCAAATTTATTCCATTCAGCAACAATTGCGCTTCTTAAATCGCTAAGATTTTGCAAAGGTGGATCTCTGCGATTGAGATTTCTGCCAATTGCATCCCAGACATGTTCGATAGGGTTCATGTCTGGAGACATGGAAGGCCAAAAGATAGTGTCAATGGCTTCTTGCTCTTTGTACTCTTTGTACTCGGTTACAATCCTTGCCCTGTGTGGTCTAGCATTGTCGTACATGCACAAGGGTCTTGAAGCAAGTGGAGGATTATCAAAATGAGGGACTACAATGTTTCTAAGCACCAAATTCATGAATGTCTGTCCGTTCATTTTACCCTGCAGAATATGCATACCCACCTTACAACAGTATGAGAAGAAACCCCATACTGTAACACCACCGGCAACGTATGCAGTCGTTGGGCAAATGTTGTTTTGGTCATTAGCAGTTTTATTTCTACGGCAAACTCGTATTCTGCCGTCTATTGGTCGTAACAGAAACTGACACTCATTTGACCAATGAACATTTTGCCAGTTTCTCATGTTTCAGCGTCGATGGTTATTAGCCCTTTGAAACCTGATTATACGGTGCCTGGCTGTTAGGGCAGGTCTCTTGACAACACGACGTGCTCTTAGGTCTATGAAGTCGACGGACCAATGTTCGAACACTAACATGACCACCTTGACACCAGTGGTGTCTAAGTTGTGGGGCAGGAGTAAATGGGTTGGCTTTAGCGCAACCAATAAGGAGTCTGTCATCACGATTAGTAGTTAAACGGGGTTTTCCGGACCTTGGTCTATCATTTACAGTTCCTGTGTCAACATGAAGTTGTAAAAATCTGACAATGACGGTGTGTTTAACATTGAAATGGCTACCTATGCAACTAGTGCTCCTACCGGCATTTGACATGTCAATTGCTTGCCAAGGTTCAGTCACATATAACTTACCCCTTGCCATATTTCACAGTGACTTGGTAAAGGTCAAATTTCATCTGTACGCGGGGCAGTAAGAAGATGATTTAAAGGCATCGAAACAGTGTATTCGAAAAAGTGCAGATGACCTTTAATAAAAAATTGCTTGATGTGTTGATCGGAGTTTATTTTTTTTGGTCGTAACGAATTTTCTTGGTGTATGTTACAGGCAATTTATAACACCAAACATAAATATTTTTTTCGCAATAGTTAAAAAAATATTGCCAGTTATATTTAGGTGGTGCTTAACTTTTGGCGGACTGTATATATCAATTAATTAACCTTTAAATGCTCAAATAGGTATCTTGAAGTACTTATGATGGATATACAAACCCTCAATGTCATATATACCCTATTATACACACCATAGGACAATTGTTCTATTATCAAATGGTTAGAACAAAACAAACCCTGAAAGTTAGTCTCTTTAAAGACACAGTGTGTTATTATATAGACCCTGGATCCTATTATTTACAACATCAGACACTCTTTCTCTTATCAAATGGTTATAAAACGGGTCGTGTATAGACCGTGGAGCCTATTATATACACCATTAGATACTCATTCTGTTATCAAATTGTTTTAAAACGGACCCTATATAGACCCAGGATCCTATTATATACGCTATCAGACACTCATTCTGTTATCAAATAGTTATAAAATTTCTTGAAAACTTGCCACTTTTCTGTTCCTTAAATTTAATATTATAATCCCTATGTCAAAACTCATTTAATGATATAGAACAGTTAAACTTCTTTTTGTATACAGATGTATGAACATGGTTATTAATTCCCATATTAGACACTATAATTTGTTGATGTTCATCCATTGAAAGTACTTCATGGTTATAAAATTTTACATTAGACACGATATGATGTTGATGTTAATTAATATAGTAGGTGTCCACAAATTAAAGACACCTTCTTTGTAATATATGGACTCCTATTATTTTAATCTCTATGTCAAAACCCATTTAATGATGTCTAGATTTGTATGTTTCATGGTTCAGTATTGTTTTTATCAAATAGACACAACAGATACAAGTGCTGTAACTATATATTAACACAGTCAGGGTTCCTAAACAGGTTATTATATATCAATGAAATAACATTAAAGTACTCAATCAAGTAACTTGAAGTACTTATGATGGATATACAAAAGCCCTAATTGTCATACAGTATTATATGCACCATAGGACAATTCTACTGTTATCCAATAGCTAAACCGAAACAAACCCCCAAAGTTAAGGGTTCATTTGAGAACACTGTTTATATTATATACACCATCAGACACTAATTGCACCACAGGAGCCTAAATCTGTTATCTAATGGCTAAACCGAAACAAACCCTCAAAATTAGTCTCTTTAAAGGTCCATTTAAGGAATTTGAATTTATTTTATACACCATCAGACACCCATTCTGTTATTTAATTGGTATAAAATGGACCCTAAATGTTTATGACTAGGGCCCCTATGTGACCCTATATGCAGTAATATCTGTCGATATGAAAAGATTATCGGGGTTTCTGCACATTGACATCGTAATATATCAGCTGCTCGACACAATGTAATTTTTTTTGCCTATGAGAAAATTGAAAACAAATGGATAATAGATACATATATGCATTAATTTTGGTGTATAAGTAACTTAACAAAGTGCGTGGTACATACTTTGCAAATGATGCTATCTGCTTTAACATCGAAATTGCACTGCTAATCAGAACTTACTGCCCTGCAACTAATACATTTTGATTCAAAATTCGACATCATTCTACACGCTTATGAGGATACCTGCAACCTCACATTTACTGTTAAATATTTATCCCATATCTTCCCAAAATGATCTCCACTTTTACATTTGTTAATACGGAGAAAGCAAAGAAAAATTATGTATTCTATTTTTCAGGCAAAATGGCATCTGGTGGCGAGATTGACGATGTCTGTGAAGTATTTAGAAATTTCAATATTCTCAATTCAAAAGACAAACCCCCAAATAAAATGACCAGTAAAGCATGGGGTAAAATGGTTCAGGACTGTATAGGGAAGGACACAACTATTAGACAGAGAATGGATAGCAGTGTGTTTCCATACGTCCAAGATAAAACAACAAAGTAATTATATTGACATTTATGTGTATATATCGGATAATTTCAAATAGCTTCCTAATAATGATTTGAGTGCCTACTACTTTGAACCTCAAATTTATCAGCTGTCGATTGCTTCCCAGAAAAGTATATTTTACCTGGTCAGATTCGTTTGAAAAAAAACCCTACTTTCTCCAAGGTATTTTTTTTTTAATTTCTATCGTTTATCCTGTTTTTGTCTCGCCTGCGATGATGATGGCGTCAACAATTGTTAAGTTTTCTGCTTAAGTTAGTTTGATAAGAACTACTTGTGATAGATCATTGATATTTAAAACAAATTGCATTACTATCAGTACAAATCAGTCTGACGACTATTTCGAGGCCCTGCCTCCTAGGTTATGGTCCAGTGACTTTGAATTAATTAACAATTTTCAATGTTAAGTTTTCTGCTTAAGTTAGTTTGATAGGATCTACTTGTGACAGATCAATGATATTTTGTATAAAGTTGCATTACTATCATAGTTTGACGACTATTTTGAGGCCCTGCCCCCTATGACGTGGTCCAGTGACTGAATTAATTAGCAATTTTCAATGTTAAGTTTTCTGCTTCAGAATTAATAAGCAATGTTGCTGTCCATCAGATTGCCTTTTTCTGAATTTTATGCCGATAGGCGAGACATATCTCTGTGTCAACAGTTTATTTTAAAATAAGCTGTTACTAACATTAATGATTTCCAATATTGTAAAACACCAAACAACCTCTTAACAACTATAAATTTAACTATACATTGACTTAGCCTATATGTTAAACGATCAAGTTCAATTAAAATCTTCTGTGAAAAGAAATTTTTTGGACATCCATTTCACGCCTCAATAATTTGGTTTATGTTTGAAAGCAGATTTAAGCAAAATACAAGTGAATCAAACCATTTTCACGAAAAATTGGTCATCCAGACTTTGATTTATGTTCCATGAATTAAGATAAGTGTCAATCTTGAGTTTATCGCCGATACTATTTGACTTACTAGCAGTGTCTCCTGGTTTCTTGACCACTCAAACAACTATCAAAATAAGCTCTTGTCATAGGGGCGTCATAGTTATACAGAACTCCACGGTATCGAATTTACAATATTTGTAGAATTTTTTATGCAAATGTTAACAATTTAATGAAGGTTTCATGTAGGTGTTAATATTTTTGACGAATCAATATGCAGCAGATATTTTAATACATCTTTTAGATATATATTTAACAATCTTCAAATGCAATGTTTTCGATAAATAACGTATCTAAGGGCAAAGTGAATTCTAAGTGCAAAGTGCATTTACATAACTTAGTTTAAAAGATAATTAAACAAAATGTATTGTTGTGGTTTCGAAATAATTGTTAATCCCTGTGATTACCGAAGTAAAAAAACATCGACTTTTCCCCTTAGTCGCGTGAAGTGTTGCTTTTCTATTGGTCTCGACACTCCAGCTATCCCACTGGATTGCGCTCGATTCTATCTTGTATCCGACTAATTTCTGAGTTGTTTCACACGAACCTTAAATTTAACTCTTCTCTCAATTGAATTTTGAAGAAAACTATGAAATTAATATCAAGCGTTTTAATAAAGAAAACACCTAATAATGGCATCTGAAGCGCGAGAGATGATACACTCTCTTTATTGTTAATTTGTTCGAAGGACAAAGCCCTGGACTCATCTGACTTTAGAAGGCATACCCGAATTACTGCTCTACGGTTAGATTTTACACCCTTTTGATGATTTTTTTTATGCCCCCGCCGTAGCGGAGGAGGCATTAAGTTTTACCCTTGTCCGTCTGTACGTCCGTCCGTCCGTCCGTCCCAAAGTTGGTTTCCGTTCTCTAACTTTAGTTTGCTTCAACCAAATGTTATGAAACTTATACACAATGCTTATTACCACAAAACACAGATCAAGTTTGAATTTTGTGGTGTCACTTTAACCGTTCTAGAGTTATGCCCCTTTACAAATGGAAAAATTGCTGAATTTTTTGTTTCCGTTCTCTAACTTTAGTTTGCCTCAACCAAATGTTATGAAACTTATACACAATGCTTATTACCACAAAACACAGATCAAGTTTGAATTTTGGTGGTATAACTTTAACCGTTCTAGAGTTATGCCCCTTTACAAATGGAAAAATTGCTGAATTTTTCGTTTCCGTTCTTTAACTTTAGTTTGCCTCAACCAAATGTTATGAAACTTTTACACAATGCTTATTACCACAAAATACAGATCAAGTTTGAATTCTGGTGGTGTCACTTTAACCGTTCTAGAGTTATGCCCCTTTACAAATGAAAAATTGCTGAATTTTTCGTTTCCGTTTCTCTAACTTTAGTTTGCCTCAACCAAATGTTATGAAACTTATACACAATGCTTATTACCACAAAAACACAGATCAAGATGGAACTTTGGTGGTATCACTTTTACTGTTCTAGAGTTATGCCCCTTTACAAATGGAAAAATTGCTGAATTTTTCGTTTCTGTTCTCTAACTTAAGTTTGCCTCAACCAAATGTTATGAAACTTATACGCAATACTTATTACCACTAAACTCAGATTAAGTACAAATTTGGGTAGCGTCACTTTTAACGTTCTTCAGTTTTGTCCCTTTATAACTTTATATGATATGCAAGCGGGGGCATCATCTCTGTCACATGGACATATTCCCCATTTATTTCAAAATACTTCACGGGATGGGTTTTGGGGTTGGATAAAATGCTGTTTTTAGATCGAAATTTCTAAATCAGTTTATTATGTAATTATACGTCTTTTATATAAAAAAAATTCGCTTTATTCTGTAAATTACTATACAATTCGCAAAAAAATGTTACACTGGTTATAAGACTGCAATATTATAAGACTTTTAATTACCATGGCAACAGATAAAAACAAACCAAATGGCAAAATAAAAACAAACTTATTGCAACAGATAAAAACAAACCAGATACATCATCTTTTTCTTTAACAGAGATCTCCATTTTTGAAGTTTATTTCAATTCGATTTCCGTCTGTATATTGTAATGCTAAAACAATAGATCTTTATTATTCCGCATTGGCCATTGTGAAAGTTATGTTATGTGTTATTAGAATCTAAATTGCACATTTTTATTGGAACATCATATTTGGTTGATATCTACTATTAAAACTATATATAAGACCGTTCTCTGTTCTTTACTTTTCGACAGAGCACTTGATCTAACCGATAAAGCCAAAGTCAATAAAGTCCTCGATAAGATGGCTGAAGTTTATAAGGAATGTAAGCCCAAGGAAGAAAAAGACACACCAGTGGCTGAAGTCCGACAAAAACTTGTGAAGAGAATACTTGATCAAAAAAATCCTGATGTGCATTCTACGGTATGTATAGAAGAAGATTTTTTTTTATTAAATGGGCTCACAAGGAGCATAGTACAATATCCGAAATTAATTCAGGGGGGAAACCAATAAGGTATATACAACAAACAGTCTGGATATATCTATTACTTCTCGGTACTAGTATGCTCTTTCTCTATAGATAGTACTACTTTAAATGTCGCGATATCATATTGTACTTGCATGTGTCTAATAAGTTTCTTGGAATTAAACTAAAATGATTAAGATGGAAGCGTTGTTGTACTTGATAGCTTACGAAAAATTATAAAACGACACAAAACTGTGCGGCAACGACGGTACTAAATATTTACGATAGTGAAGATGAGGCTTGTGGTCGCTTTACTTATTTTAGATTGGTCAGATAACATCGACGAAAAAATAAATAAAGATAACTTGAAATCCTGATCTTTAAGAAAAAAAATGTCGAGACTAAAATCACAAGCCGAGACTATAATACAGGTATAGTAATATAATATAATATTATCACAGACGTTTTGGGCATGGACCGGACCCCTTTCAACTTATTTTCACGTATTAATGTGTTCTTGCCCATGGTATCATGTATAGACTGTGGGAATGTGTGCTTTACTTTCCGTGCACTCTTAACCTCACTCATATTACTAATTGAATAAAAAGTGTCTGTTAACATATACATATGAAATCGATGCACATACTTTATTACTAGTCTAGAATTTGAAGTTTAATATAAACTTGAATGTTTTATATGTTGTGTCAAAATTATTTTGTTCTTCGACCAGCTGTAGGAATCTTACAATAATATTCTTAAAGTTGATATTGTAACACTTGTTATTGGTGATAACTGGAATATCTTAATTTATCAGCAAACTTCTACCGTTAACTTTTTGGAATGAACTTTATCAAATTATCCAAAAATAACTTAAATGTTTTTTTTTCATTCTTAATAACAATGTATCTATGAAAAAGTTTCATTACTGCTTTAAAAAAAATGACACAATACAACATGACAGTATTTAAGTTATCTTTTTGTCAAATTGTTTGTTGGTTGTACTATTTTTTATACAAATACGAAAATATTTCAAGTGCTGCAAGACGTTATTTTGATTATGTATATATCATGACCTGTAATTAAAGACTGTCTGTAAAAAGTGTTTGCATCGAACTGTTTTGTGCTATAACATCGCCTTGAACTGCGTCGAACTGTTTTGTGCTATAACTCGATCGCCTTGAATTGCACCGAACTGTTTTGTGCTATAACTTAATTCGCCTTGAACTGCATCGAACTGTTTTGTGCTATAACTTCGCCTTGAACCTGAGTGCTACATTGTATTTCAGAAAACGTCTGCCACAGGAGGTGTTGATAGGATGACAGACACTTCCAAATATACAGGGGCTCATAAAGAACGATTTGACGATTCAGGAAAAGGGAAGGGTGTTACGGGACGAGAAGATCGATTTGAAAAGTCAGGTTATGTCGGCCAGTATAAGGGTGCCGGCACTTATGACAAAGAGAAATGATTTTGCTGATGTACTTGTTTTGTCAATGTTTTATACAAATTTCTTGAACAATTCCAATATTTATAGTTGTAAATACCTTTGTCTGTTAAATATGTAAATAGAATCTCTGATTAAATTCAAAACTTACATCATTGTGTCATTTATACGCAGTCGGGTGATATTTAGCAAACATTACTACTTGTCAAATAATATTAGTTACACAGTGTGCTAGTGACCTAATACGATATATATATCGTATTAGGTCACAAGCACACTCCGACTATCTTAACATATGGCATTTAGACTAGTGGCCTATCAAAGTGATCAAGTCTTCAATATTAAGAACCTACTTCCATTGGTCTAGAAAAATGCCAACAATAACCACTTGTTAGCTTTAATGTGTTTTCTGCATTTATTTTCAGTCGTTCATCACCAATTTCTTCATCTGTTGTTTGGGCGAAACGTTTCAGACTTTTTTCAACGTCGTGTTATTTTTACAAAGGGACGTAACACTGCTACTAACCCAATAATAAAATAAAACACGCCCACTAACCCAATATTAATTATACAGGGTCTTCACGCGGTCGCTTTTAACCAATCATATTCCTAGAAATGTATAGGAGGTAACATTACTAGGCATACTAACTTTACAGCAAGCATTACCGCTTGACAAATATCTATAGACTTACTCGGACGTAACTTTGGTGAACAGTGATTTGTCATTCTTGACTCGTAAAGGCAAAATAATTAAAATAAAAATGGGTTTTTTTTCGATTTTGTAGTAGACTGTTATGAAATGCTCTTTAAAAACGTCTGCATATGGCCATGGGAATTAAAACAAACGATAGGAATTAAGAAAGAAATACAGGAAGCTTATGCAAAAACTCCGAAATTTCCTTGAAATGTTAAAATTGAGACAAAAGACATGATTTACTGTTATAAAAGAGGCGAAAGATACCAAAGGGACATTCAAACTCATAAGTCGAAAATAAACTGACAACGCCTTGGCTAAAAAAGAAAAAGACAAACAGACAAACAATAGTACACAAAAGTACACAAAACACAACATAGAAAACTAAAGACTGAGCAACACGAACCCCACCAAAAACTGGGGGTGATCTCAGGTGCTCCGGAAGGGTAAGCAGATCCTGCTCCACTGTGGCACCTGTTGTGTTGCTCATGTTAGTACAAACCCGGTAATAAGTCTAAATCGGTAGGTCACATTCGGGGAAAAGGGGACGGGATTGAAGTTACGACATTCGGAACATATCCGCTATCATCTGTGAAACGGATATTCCATAACGGTCAACCAACTCGTGATGGCATCCGTAAAATTTACGAAGGGATGATTTCAACTTCACCACTTGGAACTCTTGGTTTTATAGCTTCCTTGTGAGCAGCAACCCTCTATCAAGGAAATCATGATAGGAAATACAAGCCCTGGAATATCGTATCAACTGGGAGATATATATATATACTCCGTATGCAGGCGCTGCTGGAATGTTGCTACATAGAAATGGAAAGTTCACAATTGGGAAGCTGAAATCATCTCTTTTGTCGTAAAGATTTGTTTACAACCGACTATAAATCTCATTTAAGGGTAAATTTAAATCCATTTTAAACGGCCATCAGTTCCGTTGCACATGCACTTGGGGAATGGACCCCCTCTTTTCTTTATATATTTGTTTTGTGTTTTTATATTTTTTCTAGTGAATATTCCTTAATAATTTAAATTATTATCACTTATTGAATGTGTCTTTGCTCTTATTCATACGATTTGACAGTAACAGTAGTTTATATATGATGCCATCTGTTCTTAATTTCCACAGTGGAAGAGGTAAACGGACCTATGTGCTATATCCTGAATGTCACACGTGCACTTGAGTCCAAGGAAAATACAATGTACTCCACAAAAGATATCTCTAATAGTTCCTTTAGATAGTACAATAAAAACTAATTTTTTGCTGATTAGTACGAACGCTTTAAAAATGGGGAAGAATTCAGATGATTCGTAAAGGTAAGCAGTTCCTCCTACACACATTGAAGCGTTGGAGGCACATGCTCCGGTTTCTTCCGTCATAACAACGCCTGATGTAATTTTCAAATCGTCTTCTTTGGTAGGTTAATCCTGTTTTTTTCTTTGTATATTTGTCAAATTACAATTTACAAAACAGATATTAATGGCCATTGGGGACCACAATCTACATCTTCCCTTCTCGCCCCATCTTCCCTAATTCCAAGGCATATTTGAAAAATCGTGCATTTTCCTTTTTATTAAGGAATATGTAAGCAAAAGGATCAGGCTACAATTTTTAACCGGATTTTCGAAGGAAATATCGGTTATTAAAATGGTGATGTACGGCGGGCGGCTGGGCGGATCTACGGGCGGCTGCCAAACAGTGTCAGCACAATAACTCGAAAACGCTTTAACAAATTTTTTTCAAATTTAAATATGTTGTTTCCTGGGACTTAATGAAGGTCTAGTTCAATTTTCAAGATATTAGATTATCTCCTTTGTGAGTTATCGCCATTTTTAATATCCAAAAGTGGAATTTTTAAATATTTTACTTTTGTTATCTTTTTTATGACTAAGAATAATGTCTTATCTCACAATAAAAATTGGAGTGACAGATTTATTTGAAAATTATCTATTTCCTAAGTGGTAATGATTATAAGCTATATTATTAGACATTTTGAAGTTAATTACATTATTAATTATTAATTAGATCTGGGTAATATCTTAGCATATAATATCATTGGAGTGACAGATTTATTAGAAAATTTTCTGTTTCCTGATAAGATCTGTAGGACTGTATATATAAAGTTTGAATTTTACTAGTAGGACTGTATAAATGAAATTTGAAATTTACTGTTCATTATTAGACATTTTGTAGATAATTAAGTCTCCCTAAACCATATATATTCTTACCCCCACCCCCTTTCAATTTGAGAATGTGCTTTTATCTTGTAAACGGTTGAGATCCCCATCCCTAAACCATATATATTCTTGTACGGGACAATAACACAAATCAAATGAAATATAGGGGAAGTCCATGGGGGTCACCCCCACCCCCTTCTTTTTGAAAACTTGTAAACGGTCAAGATCCCCACCCCGAAACCATATATATTGTTGTATGGGACAATAAAAAAAGTCTAATGAAATAAAAGGCGAGTCCCCTGGGGTCACCCCACCCCATCCTGTTTAAGAACTTGTAAACCGTCGGGATCCCCACCCCTAAACCATATATATTCTTGAATGGGACAATAAAACAAATCAAATGATATATAGGGGAAGTCCACGGGGGTCACCCCCACCCCCCTTCTTTTTGATAACTTGAAAACAGTCGAGATCCCCACCCCTAAACCATATATATTCTTGAATGGGACAATAAAACAAATCAAATGAAATTGAGGGGCAGTCCCCTGTGGTCACCCCCACCCCCCTTTTTTTGAAAACTTGTAAACGGTCAAAATCTCCACCCCGAAACCATATATATTCTTGTATGGGACAATCAAACAAATCAAATGAAATACAAGGCGAGTCCCCTGGGGTCACCCCACCCCCTCCTGTTTAAGAACTTGTAAACGGTCGAGATACCCACCCCTAAACCATATATATTCTTGTATGGGACAATAACACAAATCAAATGAAATATAGGGGAAGTCCATGGGGGTCACCCCCTCCCCCTTTCTTTTTGAAAACTTGTAAACGGTCAAGATCCACACCCTGAAACTATATATATTCTTGTATGGGACAATGAAACAAATCAAATAAAAAATAAAAGGCGAGTCCCCTGGGGTCACCCCCACCCCCTCCTGTTTGAAAACTTGTAAACGGTCGAGATCCCACCCCTAAACCATATATATTCTTGTATGCAATAAAACAAATCAAATGAAATATAGGGGAAGTCCATGGGGGTCGACCCCACCCCCCCCTTCTTTTTGATAACTTGTAAACGGTCTAGATCCCTACCCCTAAACCATATTAATTCTTGAATGGGACAATAAAACAAATCAAATGAAATTAAGGGGAAATCCCCTGGGGTAACCCCCACCCCCCTCTTTTTGAAAACTAGTAAACGGTCAAGATCTCCATGCGGAAACCATATCTGTTTAAGAACTTGTAAACAGTCAAGATCCCTACCCCTAAACCATATATATTCTTGTACAGGACAAAAATACAAATCATATGAAATAAAGGGAGAGTCTCTTGGGGATCACCCCCCCCCCCCCCCCCCTTTTTGAGAACTTGTAATCGGTCGAGATCTCCACCCCTAAACCATATAAATTCCTGTTCGTAATTTCAAGAAGATTTGAATGACATACAGGGTCAATCCATAGGCGTCACTAATGCATATCATAAACCAATTTGTACTGGACATTGCCCAATGTCAACCGACAATGGGAATGACGAATTATTGGAGCTTTGTTTGGGAGACTTCGTAACAGCATTCTGTTACAATTATTTCTTGTTACTGATAAGTTTTATAGATTTTGAAATGACATTGTATTAATGATAAATAAAATTTTGGATTTTTTTCTTCTTTTCTTTTGTGGCAAGTTCGTTTGTTATTCTGTAAAAACTAATTTTCTGAATGCTATATATATTTTTTTGTTGATGAAGTAAACTCCTTTAAAAACTAAGCTTATATTGTCTATTAATAAACATATATTTAGATTTCTGATTTTGGGCCCAGTTTTCAAGTTGGTCCAAATTGATGTCCAAAATTAAACTGTGTTTGATTTCAACATAAATTGAATATATATAGGGTTCTTTGAAATGCTTAATCTAAACCTGTATTTCTTTTCATTATTAATAAGATAATACCACATTGAGGTTCAAAGGGTCCTAAATTACACTTTTGATTAATTTCATCAAAAATTGAATTCTTTGGTTCTTTGATATGCTGATTCTAGCAATGTTTGAGTGTTAAATCATATCTAATTTTAGAGAACTTAGTCATCACTGGTTGTTGTTATTATATTATTGATTATAATTTGAAAAATTGCATCATATCTTATTTTAGAGAACTATTTATCCAGTTTGAGTTATTTCCCTTTGCACAGAAAATATTATGGATAAAATTAACCTGTGTTTCATTTCAACATAAATTAAATATTTTATAAATTATATAAATGATTCAACAAAAAAATTATTTATGGGGTTCTTTGAAATGCCGAATCTAACCATGTATTGAGAGATTTTGGATTGTGGGCTCCTTTATCAAATTAGTCCACATTGAGGTCCAAAGGGTCTTAAATTAAACTTTTGTCTGATTTCATCAAAAATTGAATTCTTGGGGTTCTTTGATATGCTGATTCTAATATGTACTTAGATTTTGGATATTGGGACCATAATAGGTATTTAAATGTCCAATTTCAAGTATTTCAGTTCTTAAACCACATTCGTTTTGTGTCACAAACCTATGCTGTGTCAAATATTAAATCACAATCCAAATTCAGAGCTGTTTTAAGCTTAAATGTAGTGTCCATACTTGCTCAACTGTTTAAACTGGCAGAAAACCCTGGCCGTGTTGGGCGCAACTTTTTGGAAGTTTTGGTCCTCGGTGCTCTTCAGCTTTGTACTTGTTTTGGCTTTCAAACTTTTTTCATCTGAGCGTCACTGGTTGGTCTTGTGTGGACGAGACGCGCGTCTGGCATATTGAATTTTAAGCCTAGTACCTTTTGTTAGCTATTATTCGTGTGTTTCTTTGTCCTATTTGTTCTCCCATTTATTTGTATTGTGGTCCTGTCATGTGATGTTGTCGTTTTGGTGTTGTGTTTGACGTTGCCATAAAAGCGGGAGGTTTGGCATGCCACAAAACCAGGTTCAACCCACCATTTTTTTCTTAAAATGTCCTGTACCAAGTCAGGAAAATGGCCATTGTTATATTATAGTTCGTTTCTGTGTGTGTTACATTTTAATGTTGTGTTTTTGTTGTGTCGTTGTTCTCCTCTTATATTTGATGCGTTTCCCTCAGTTTTAGTTTGTAACCCGGATTTGTTTTTATCTCTATCGATTTATGAGTTTTCGAACAGCGGTATACTACTGTTGCCTTTATTTAGGGTTCGACCTCTGCAGGAAAATCCGGTTTGCTATCACTCTGACAGCCTCTTGTTTAATTTAATTCGCTTTACATATTTACTTCGTTGACACTCGTATAATGGTATAAACTACATTTCATGTGCAGGATAATTTTATATCAAAGATACGAAGCAAAAGTTTGCAGCAGATACTCAGGCCAAGACTGACCGTCGAGTTCAGCATGGTACATTAACTCAAGTATTTTCTATTCAGTATTTTATACTGATGTTAACAAAGTTTCGGATTTTGCTTTAAACAACTACTAGCTTCCTTTTTTTTCTTTTATTTTTTCTCCATTATAATGAATAGATTGAGACACATGTGAGATCACGGGTGGCTTAATTGCAATATATTGTTATGCCTATTTTCAATATTTTGATTATTAGTATACAACACAGTTGTGCTGCAAGAAGCCATTCACCATCAGAAAACTTGCATGTCTTCAAGATTTTTTTTTATTATTTATTATTATTAGTTACATTCCCTGTCGAGATTACTCATTTAGTTTCTCCCAAAGTAGGGTTGTATCGACATGAAATTAATAAATGGTTAAAAAAGAAATAATATAGCTTACTATAAGGCAGCGAATGCTTTGTTTAATCAAAATAAAATAAGGAATTGTGATGGAGTTTAAAACAGAATTGTCCTATAGTACATTTGACACTGACATGGATATTTTTTCAGAAAATTTCTAAGACTGGGAATGTTAGTGGATTGACAGATACATCAAAATACACAGGGGCTCACAAGGAGAGGTTCGATGAATTTGGCAAAGGAAAGGGTATCGATGGAAGAGAGTATCGATATGAAGAAACAGGTTACGTCACAGGATACAAAGGAGACGGTTCAAAACAATAATGACCACACATACAATGCAAATAATGTACTTTAATACACTGCAGCAGAGATATATATATATCGTATGACTATCTCTTATTTTTGTCAGGCAACGCGTAATATTATTGACAAAATAAATATTTAATACGATTTTCTTTTCGATTAAAAAAAAAATAAGTGAATGGTACGTTTAAACGCCGAATCTATTTTATAAATACAAAAAACAATGAAAGACCGAATATGGGCGGCCAATATTTCAGCCTTAAAAGATGTTTGTCAAGGGATGTTGTAAACACACCAGTAGATGTTTGTCAAGGGATGTTGTAAACACACCAGTAGATGTTTTGGGTTATTTGTGTCATTTGGTAGCTGTCTCCTGGAGGTATCCCACAAATTTCCTTTTCTGCTATTCAAAATACTGAGAATATAAAATAAAACGCCCAGAATAAGCAATGACAGAATATGGATTAACTCGTATTTATAATGTTTACTGAGGTCTAGCGTCTGTCGATTGAGTTTCGAGTTTAGGAAAATTCGATGTGCACTTAACTTCACAAACTACAACAAAATGTAATGCGTTCAAAATGTATTCCAAACGATAGCGTGGTCTTAATTTCAAAGTTCAGTGACATGGTTACGGGTTTATTAGTATCGAGTTAAGATAGATGTGAAGCAGATGTAATTTATTGTGATATAAATCGAAGTTTTCGAAATACAATAAAAATGTATATATGTAGTACGTTTTCATTACAAATGGGTTTTTTTCTTCAAAGGGTATGGTTATTTCCTTTATACAAAAAAGTTGCAAGCCCTTAAATTGCTCATTGACACTACATGAGGCTTAAAAGCTTTTAGAATTTCAAGTAATAAAAATTTAGCTCTTTGAAAGAAATGGTTCCATTTGTTGTTAAATGTCACTTCAAAGGTCCACTGCAATAGTTTCGAAGCGAAATCGGATGAACCACACTAAAGTGTTCTTTTTGTTACATATGAAATGCAAAAGTTTTTAATCGGTAGGTATTTATCAAATTAAAGATCATTCTAATATTTACTTCAAAATTGGTTCAGGGATCGATTGTGGAAATAGTTATGTGAAACCTACAATTTCCCATTCTTCTCATGAATTCGAATAATGATTTCTGACTGGCCTTCTTGCGTCGTAACGGGGGCAATGTTCATTCTTTAAATTCAGGGAATTAAAAAGTGAAAGTTTACCTTATGAATCATTTTTAGCATTAATTTTTGTCATTTTGTTTTTGTGAAACTAGATTTTTTAGTTAATGAAATTTGTCCAAAACCCTAATCCAATCCCCTTGACACACCGAAGCCTTTAACAACCCAAAGACTCACTTGTGATAATTTTTCAAACTATACGCCGCTGATTTTACGTTTAACTTCACAGAATTCCTCAAGATATGGTCCTTTAAGGTATTAAGCTTTTTGTGGCTTGCAATCAGTTCTAGGTTCCGTACGTGATATGACGGATGTTAGTAATTTATGAATAAGGTCTCAAAATACACCTTAATCAAATATACACACATCATTCATTTCATAAAAAAAACTATGTCTTTTGATTGATTGCTGTTCGTTTAACGTCCAGTGGAAAATATCTCGTGCATATTCAAGATGGGAACAAAGGCTTGTTTTGCGTGCAGCTTTACAGGACAATGGTATGAATACTGCGTAAAATTGATATACTACATTTATCTTAATCGTTTAATATTACATTTAATAAAGTAATTATGCAAATATTAAAAAGAGAGGTGGTTTTAATAACACAGAAAACAAATTGGTAAATTAATTAATTTTTAAATGTGCTTTACATTTGCAAGTCCTTGATTTTAAAGAAAAAAAGACCAGTATAAAAATAAGGATATTTGGTAGGATTGCCAATGACACAAATATCCACTAGAATCCAAAATGACGTGGGTTTAAGCAACTGTTACCGCACGGCCTTCAACAATGCGCAAAACCCATGCTGCTATAAAAGACCCCGACATGACAAAATGTGGAAGTTTAAACGAGAAAAATAACGGCCTGATTTATGACAAAACAATAAACGGAAAACAAATATGACAGAAAGAGACCAAAATAACCACTACATAACAAGCTCCTGACTTGGGACAGGCACATAAAGAATGTGGCGGTGAGATCTTAATCCTACTCCAATTGGTACGAAGCACTGAAAGATAGTTATTCAGGGCCAATAACAACTAATACATAAATCATGTTCTCCCAGACTAATTAGTACCAATCAGTACACATCCAACGAATTTTGTGTAAAGACGTCATAAACAGCCTGAGAAAGGCATTAATTTGTACAACGCCAAAATAAAAGTACATATTATCTGCAGGATGTGGGACCACACGTTTGCATAACTGTATGCATTGTAGTAATACATATAAAATACTTGCATGCTTTGCCAAATTGAAGTATATATTGTAATATGTTCAAAAATATCATAAAATGAAAGTCAAGTAGCTTGTTGTCAAACTGCAGGTTGTGAAAAATGACACATTTTGTATGGAGAAAAAGCATCGTAATGTGAATAGAAGTTAATCTAAATGATAGAATTTTAAAATAAAACATGAGAAGATAGCTCTTATCATAAAAATGCTTTCACAATATCAAAAGAAAAATGGGATCTATGTTACGAAATATCTGACTAAGGAGGTTATATGACCTGCTTGTTCCGTCTTAATAATTTACCAGTTATCATATTAGTTCCCTTGGGCAAATTTCCTTAGTATAATGAGGGAATTCTTGATTATATAAAGCAAAAACAGCACCAAGGTAATGCTGAGAGTTATTTACTGCATCAATGAAATTGAATTTTGTCAGATGTATATTGAGATTAGCCATACACTATGACACATAACAATACGGGAACCTGTCTGCTATTAAAAGGCTGGATATATTACATTTGGTGATTCTAGCAGACAAGGCCTATTTTGCCTATTTTTTTAAAAATCATTTGAACTTGAAGAAGTAAAGCTAAAAAGGTAGTATTTGAAACTGCATATTCACTGCTGCTACTTGATTTTTCGCTTGCATCGCTCTCAGTAATCCTCCTTTTTATGGCCCCGCCGTCACCGGAGGGGGCATTAAGTGTTACCCTTGTCCGTCCGTACGTACGTACGTCTCAAAATTGGTTTCCGTTCTGTATAACTTTAGTTTGCCTAAACGAAATGTTATGAAACTTTTACACTATGCTTATAACCACATAACACAGAAAATTTCGAATTTGGGTGGCGTCAGTTTTACCGTTCTCCAGTTATGACCCTTTATAGCGTTATATGCAAGCGGGGGCATCACCTGTGTCCCATGGACACATCCTCCATTTTTTTCTTACAATTTTGGGACTTGATAACTTTAAAATAAAATTTGTAATTTGAAGCGTGTTAAACGATTGAACATTAAATATGTATATGAATAAGTGGGATACTGAAACATTCATGTACATTTGTATAACTACGATCGTTTCTTTAATATATGACATTAACTGCATAAAGCCAATAAAGTCAGATGAAGAAAAAATAAAACCCTTTACATATGGGAGACTGAGACGTCTATAATATTGCCACAACTTATGTTCATTCCCTGTTGCCATTCTTGCATATAAAATATGTTTAAACTAGATTTAATGTACTCACAATATTATAAGGCTGGTGACAGAAATCACTTACTTTCGTCAAGTAATTTTATATTTAAAATTAAATTTAAATATAGAATCCCTTGCTTTCGTGATGTTCAATGGCATGTTACCTTTTTTGGCTCAGTAACGTTTAACACTAGGCCGCGTCCGTATTGCTTAATTATTTTTTTGCAGTTACGTCACGTTAAATGGTCTGTTGTTTGTCATTTTTTCTTTTTGTCTTGAAGCCATGGTGTGTTCAATTTCACGAATTATGAAAAATGTAGAGAGAATCATTTCCCGCCAATTTTTCAATGGCTTAACTTGAAAACAAGGTCACCGGAACCCTTCATTTTTTTCTGCATTTTTTTGTTCCATTATTTTGTATACTATCAAATTATAACAGTCTTTAATAAAGCTTGTTATTATGAAACAGAGTAGCGAACATCCTTAACTTACTCACTAATAAAGGATAGAATTTGATATCATCAGGAACGTATAGATATACTTTTCCCAGATATCATTGAGGTGTATCTTTGAGTATGATTAAGTGGGATTAGTCGCCTGTGTTATAAATAATTTGTGCTTCTCAGTTCTTCCACAGGATTTTAGTAAGAAGCAACAGTAATAAAAGAATACTTAGTTATTCTATAACATTTTCGAATCGTATTTATTAAAGAAATTAGGCTCACCGCAAAGTGTCCGTTATTGGGTATCATTTTTACTCATAATTTTGGTTATTGGCTTTATTTGCTAGTTACGTCCCTTTTGAAAGTTTGCAGAGCGGCAATGTGCACGAGCGACGAAAATCGTCTGGAAATCTCAACTGCAACTGGTTTGGAATGCAATACAAACATTTCAGTCCGGTAAACTTGACTTTTTTAATGTTATAACAGACACGTTGCACCTTTCCAATGTAACTTCAATACTACATGAATGATGATATCTTTGTCAAAAACAAATCTTCTAAAAATCGCTGCAGTTGGCCTGAGACTAATAATCATTTTGTGTTATAGTAAGTAGTCTTAGAGTTGGCCAACCTCCCTGCCCTCCCCCTTAAAACACATAAAAAAGACCCCAAAACCCACCACTTCCATCATTCCCGCCACAACCATAAACGTTCAATGCCAATGGATCATCTGCACTTTAATCACAAAACTGCATACTGGTTTATTTGTCTGCCATTACTGGACATCACAAGGGTTCCCGTAATATTTTGATGCCACAATAGAAAATGTCTGACACCACAAAGGAAAAGCAATTATTGAATGACATCAATGGTTCAAGTGTTGCAAATTCTGAGGTGAAGTCACAGATTCCCAAATATAGATAAGGTCTATATTTTTATATATCATAAAAATAAGAGGATTATGTGAAGTGGTATGTTTGCCAATGAGACACCTCTCCATCAAAGACCAAATGAGATAGAAGGTTAGCAACTGTAGGTCAGTGTACGAGCATTTACAATGAGCAAAACCCAATCCGTATAGCATGATATTAAAAGGCCCCGAAATGACAAATGTAAAACAATACATATACAGAATGTGGATAGGTTAAACATGTTGCACCAACCCTCCCCTAACCTGTGACAGTGGTGTAACAGCACAACATAAGAACAAATTATAAAAATCAATTGAAAAGGGCATCACTTTTCAGATTGATACAAACCACTACTATCAAAGCATACTGGTGTGAAATAATTAGATGTATTGAAGATATTATCCTGTTTACGTTTTATTTCTGAATGTATACAGACTTCTATTTTTTATTAAATTACGTTCCATTTTACTATATATATGAAGAATTATTTTGTAATCAGTTTTCAACTTATAACTATTTTTATGAATTAACATAATTTTCAGCACTAGAATGTTAAGATGGGCAAACATAAGGGGAGTAACTCTTAAAAGAATTTATTATGAAAAACTTGTTTATTTGGGGGGCTAGCTTGGACAATGTGCTTCATACAGAACAAAGGCATTCAATATTGTCAAATATCATTATCTAATGGGCCAATAGTTTTCTTTTATTAAGTTAAAAAAAATTTCGTTTGTGTACATCTGTCATTGTCTGTATGCGCTGTTTGTGTACAAATATAAAATTTCAGATTGTGTCACTGGTCAGCGCTTTTGACATTAGTGAAGCCAAAAGATTGTTGTTAGAAGTCATAAATTAACTCTTTATCAATTAAAACACAAAAGAATCCAGTAACAAGTGCTAATTAATTAAATCTAATCAACTGCAGATATAGGACCATGCTCTGAAATAAGGACCGCAGGTCCACTGTGCTTTCAGTTTCAGGGCCTAGGGAGAACACTGGATGTACAATAAAAGCAAATTATTTGTTCCCCATGCTTGGTAATCTTGTGGAAGAGCTACACAAAAAACGATAACTCAGTCACAATACCTGAAAATTGTTTTTTTTTCTTATGTTCTTGTTTCATGCTTTATTCTAGATAACAGATCTGGTCCGAAAACATATGAAGAATAATAACTAATTCCAATAGAGTATATATACATGTACCATTCATGTGATATTGAAATCTGTATTAATTCTATTTAAGAATGTGTTAAAATGATTATACCATAAAATTCACATAATTTCATTTATTTCTCAGTATTATTGTGTTTATTACTGTTTTCCTCCAGCTATGGTTGTCTTTTGGGGTGTTCAGTTGTGTAATGTGGTGAAAAGACCAACCCCTTCCACAAGAACAACATAAACCTAGAAAGAAGCATGGGAAACAAAAAATATTATTATATTGTACCTCATTAACATAAAAAATACTTTATTCTAACTACAATTTGAAAAAAATGCAGGTAATCTGCAGTATTTCTCCCAACCCTGTAACAGGTTATCAGTCAGAACACCCAAAAAGACCACCAAACCCTCAGGCAAACATTTTTATTATACCCTACACAACAAATCATATCCACACAACAAAGTGTTGTAGGGTAAAACTATAATGTTTTTGACTCGTCTGTCAGTCCTGTTCTAGTCATTGCAACTCCGGATCGATCGATCCTCTCAAACCACACAACAGAATTTCATGAAACTTTATCAATAATAAGGACATACTATGTAGGTGTGCATATTGATAGGAAATCATGATTCAATTTTTTTTGGACTTTTGTAAGAGTAATGAATCTTTAAACTTAGGAGTCTGGTGAGATTTTGTTTGTCCTGTGACAATGTGGGGGCATGGGGTAATTGAGCATATTCACAAAGGTTCTTTCATTACACAATAAAATGATAAATTAAACATATGTAAAATTTTATCCTTTTATCCTTTTTTCCATATTTTTATTTGAATTTTGATGCTACTAGAGAATCAAAATATACAAAAAACATTTCCTAATTCAGCAAGATTTTTATTTCAGATTCAATTAGCATATAGATCTTGATGTCTTTGATTTTTAATTTATTAATATTAGAGATAAATTGTTCAAATAAGTTCAAAAACTTTATTTAATGTACGTAAGATTAGCACAAATTAAAATTTGTTTTCTCCCTTTGCACAGACCCACAAATATTATAGACTTGCAGGAAATTAATTTTTTGTGGTATAATCTATTAATGATATACTCTTAACGATGTTAGTTTGAATCATGAGGATATTTTTTATACTGGTAAATTCAGTGACATTCATACCTGTGCTTGCAAGGGTTTCTTTCTAATGTTTTTTAAACAATGATATTGAATAATAAAATGCATATAAATTTCAGCTGTTTTAAGCTAGTTATACCTACATGTATTTGAGCAAACCTAGCTTTATAACAAGATATTGGATTTCTGCAAGTTAATAAATGGAGGAGGGCATACTTAAACTTGGATCAATAGAACCAGGGGACAAATTGGGCTGGGATTATCATCAAGCTGCAAGAAATGGAAATAAAAGAAGATTAAGAAAAATTATTGACAAAGGTACATGTATATTCATTATAATGTGAATAATTTTGGTAGAAAATCTCTCTGTATATTTCATAGGTAATATATGACAGGGTTGTAAATCAGTGTTGTCACTCTAAATCACAAGCAATCGCCCTACTACAGTGAATCACTCTGTCAATCGAAAAGTATGTACCCGGTAAGAAGATGTTGAAGGATTGACAATTAGACAACTATCCACCAGAGACCAAATGATTTGGATTTAAGCACCTTACAGCCTTCAACAATGAACAAAATCCACATCTGTCAATCATGTATATATTTTCCTACTAAAACAAGTTCCTCTGGAAACATATGTAATGTTGGGTTTTTGATATCAAGGTGCTACAAAATGACTCATTAAATTTTACTTTCTTCATTGAACCATGAAAATCAAAAACTTATTTAAGTGATTCACTTTATATATGATATCAAAGACTCAACATTCTTCAGTAATGATTAAATAAGACGGTGTCTGACCTACAGGGGTGCTTAATTATATTGTAAAATTTTTGTCACTATATTTACAGGTATTCATGTTGATTATCCTAATAGTCTGGGACAGTCACCTCTGTTTTGTGCATGTTATTTAGATGAAGAAGCTGTTGTGAAAGAACTCATGAAATTTGGAGCAAATCCTAATGAGTAAGACTTTATGAGTATCGAAAGATATTGTACAAGTCTACTTGTCACATTTCAATTGCCACCCTGATAATTTATACTTGTGATACTAATCCCAACATGGTAGAGAATAGGTCCATACAGTTACACACATATTCATAGATTTAAAGGCCCTTGTTCAATGAAATTGAGATCAAATTTTACCCCAGTCCATCTGTCCCAAAAGTTTAGGAGCTAGTTCCTGAGTATACCTTAATTATTTAAATTGATAAGTTAATAGCCTCTTCTCATGTTTGGTAACTTGTGAACATGGACATTATACACAAAGTTAATTAACTCCTTTTATTTTCCCTTTCTGGTTAATCTGGATGTCTAAATGTTTTTATGCTTTTTAACTGTTGTCTTATTTACATACAACATGTATACCTAATATCTACTTTCATTCATATTTATATAAAGTATTACTGTTATTTTAAAATAACTAAAACATGCATGAAGCATTTTACATACTTTTTTGTTGTCAGTTGTATTACTATTATTTAAAAATAATTACTAGATAATTTATGACTTTATGACTGTTTTGTTTTCTCAAAAAGTTGGCAGCCTTGTATGAACAAAGCTAAAACTTCTTTCTTAAATCCAGATGCAAGATATAAAAAAGTAAATTATTTTGATTGTTTTTTATGTATTTTTGTTGTCTAATGTGAATTTATGTGTGTATTACCAATTATTTCAGGAGGAGTAACAATGGCATGACACCTGTGCATGTTGTTGCATACACTTGTAATTTGAACTTAATGAATGAACTGTTAGCTGGTGGCGGAGATTTAAGATTACATGATTCCACTGGAAGATCATCCAAAGAATTTGCATTTCTACAGCCAGAACAGAAAAAAAGAATGAAAATGTTGGAGTTCTTGGAGAAGACTAGATTGTTTGCTTTGACAAAATCAGGAAGGGATCTTAGAGCTTCTTTAAATGGTCCACGTCATAATCATAGGTATGCCAGAAATCAGCAGTTGTTCCTTGTAAAATATAACATTTTTCAGAAATAAAATGTAAGTTTTAAAATTCAGGATTGATATGTTGAAGTCCAGTTAGACTTCAGTAGCTCTAACCAAGTTAGCTATGACACTGTATTTCTTTCCAAATGCAGTGAAAGTATTGTTGGCAGGGGTGGATCCAGGATTTTTGAAAGGGGGGCATAGGATAGACCTTTTTTTGGCTAAAAAACATAAAATACTAGTAAGTGTAAAATGCACTAATTTAACGGTTCCTGACGTGGGGCATATATATTTTATAGAACTTTAAAGTGTAAGGGTCTGAAATGACAATGAAGTTGTGAATGACGGTCGAGAAATGGAGACCTAAAGGCCACACCCAGCAGGTAGGTTGCAGTCTGTCCTTGAAAAAGTACTTAGTATACCAATTTCGCGAAACAGACATTCCAGTCACATCCCTCTCTTTAGTCTTAACTCCTTTTGAAAACATTAAGAAACACAAGAATATTAATTCAAATACCAACAAGAGTTTAGGCACGGACCATTTGATTTTCTGAAAGTGGCCTGGGATTTACATGCGAACCAAAAAAAAATATTATGCACGTTTTTTATACATTTAATGCTAAATAATTTTGTTGGAAATTTTTTTTTCTAATAGCAAAAAAGTGGGCAAGATTATTGTTTTCAACCCAGGTATGGCCAGAATTTTTTTTAAGGCAAAAATCAGGGACAGAATTTTTTTCTCTAAAATATCTCAGACCCCCCCCTCCCCCCCCCCCCCCCCAAAAAAAATCAAATGGTCCGTACCTTAGACTTTTATTCTATCTAGAGATTACTGACTGGGGATCATTATTCAGCAATGTTATTAATGGGCTGGGGCGTGTGGGGTTAAACATGTTTTCGTAGGTAAATATTATAGCTGTGGAACTTTTTTTTATCATGTGAGTGTAATAGAGTATTACGTTCTGTTGAGTGGAATTGTGAAATAGGAGTCGATACGTCCTTGCTCCATCCTTAAAATTTGTCCCTTTGAAGGTGTCATGCTTGTCATCCTCAGCCTTAGCAATGTGTTACTGTAATTTGAATTTCAAAATGACTGAGTGACATTTTTTCGAAGTACTGGTCAACTCAACAGTAGCGAATCACATGACTTTGACATAATCAATAATATATTACACGTAAATACGAGCGAATAATATCTTTATAAGTAACGAATTGTCGCATAAAATATACGAGAAATGACAAAGTTAACGAAAGTGCAAATAAAGGGGGGCGTAGAGGGTGTACGCCCCCCTTTTACTTACCCTTTGTTAACTTTATCATATCTCGTATATTTTATGTGACAATTCGTTACTGATTATCTAAGGAGTTGACCAGTACTTCGAAAAAAACGTCACTCAGTCATTTTGAAATTCAAATTACAGTAACACATTGCTAAGGCTGAGGATGACAAGCATGACGCCTTCAAAGGGACAAAGGATGGAGCAAGGACGTATTGACTCCTATTTCACAAGTGCAAGTAAAGGGGGGGGGGGGGGGGGGGGGGGGGGCGTACGCCCTCTACGCCCCCCTCTGGATCCGCCACTGGTTGGTACAATAAACAATTAGTTCAATCCTGTCAGACTGATTATCTAAGGAATCATTGAACTCAACCCGAATGATTTCAATAATGTAAAACAATTAAGTTCATGAAGAAAAACCTCTACCTTAGCATAAGATGTATTGATTTGTATTTTGTTCCCTTGATCTTTTAACCGCTCAAACAGGCAACCAATTTTACAATCTCTTTGTTTCAATTTTTGTCATAAAGAATCAATTTGGAATAGGTATTACACATATATTTAAATTTTCATTGACATATTAGCACAAACAGATGTTTTTCAAATTAATGATTTTTAAAACAAAATTTGATACATGTACCAGGAAACAAAATGACCAAAACTAATTTTTATGAAATTAGGAAATGAATGTGATTGAAAATTGAGTCTTTATTAAATAAAACATCACAAGTTTTGAGAAACATCTTTTTGTGCTAGGACTGCAAGGAAAGAAGTATTATTATAAATGATATTTACAAGTATATATTTACTTAAATATAGCAAAAGCATCAAACTTAAGTTCATACTTTCAGATTTACCACAAAAACAAATTCTGTAATAAAATTAATAAGAGATAAAATCAGAGGAGACAGCAGCGTGAACTTAGATCATCAGATGAAAAGTTGTCAGAGTATGGGATTTGGAAAAGTAAGTTAAATACAAGGAATTATATTTTTAACATGTAACAAATTAAAGGTACTACAGCACCTTAAATATTGTAGCTAACATTCATACTATGTAAGTCGAATGTAGCATTTATACCATCACTTAGATCTTGTTAATCATAAGCTCACTTTATTATTAAAACATGAAGATCCATTGTCATTTTTTATACAAACCATCTAAACAGTCAGTATTATGGTACAAGTTGTATATTTTTTGCTAGTATATCCATTTGTCATTTTATTTATTGCATTACTATAAAATACAAATTGAGTAGACTAAGGCAGGCAATATAGAACACTCAGTATATCTATTAAGAGTTTTATTAATGCAACAAATAGGATCTCTTTAGCTTATATATCATTTCACATTTTTCAGTATCTCCATATATTTAACGTGTTTTAAACTTCCAAAGTATAACCCAATACATAAAAGGGGACAACAGGAATTGCCAAAAATATCCCACTGCAGATTGTAGTGACTGAACAATATTTAAAAAAAATCTGTTCAGCAAGAAATATATTTATATAGCTCTTATATAACACACACACTGGGAAAAGCTTGATCCCTTCCACACTGCACAAGTGATAGAAGAGAAATTGAATAATATATACCAAGGGATAACAGGGATCACCAAAAAGACTGTTTTTCTTTAATCTGAATATTCTTTTCTTTTGCATTTGTACACACATGTCTGTGCTTATGGGAAAAACCCATTTCTTGGGAAGATATTAACAACTTAAATATGAGATTGGTTTGATTTATAGTTATAACTGCAATCATAAAGATGTAAAAAAGAAATATTTAAGTTAGAGTTTGCTCTTTTAAGATGCAAACATTTTGAACATTTTTATAAAAAGATAGATCTTTATTGATTGGTTCTGCTAAATTATTCGTTACAGTTTTAAGGTATTCTGCTGTTGGCATATTGCTTTTTCTGGTTTGTAATGAAGGGCTGCTAAGCAGTTATCATTAATAGCATTTACGTGACCATCATATTTGCTGTATCCTGTTGCATTAGTAAAACCTGATCTCTACATGATGTTTTAAAAGTTGAAATTTTAAACTTCCAATTTTTTATGAAAATGGACATGATGTGCATAATAAAGATGTGAAAAAATGTTTACTTTATAGGTATATCAAGATGGAGACAGTTTTAGTGGTATTATATGTACTTTGCCATTAGTAAGTGAAAATTTACTGAAACATGATTCCCATGGGCTGTCATTTAATAATGGTGCTTTTATGGTGATGGAAAGGTAAGTCAGTAATCATCATTTAGATTAGCAGCATTTATTAAACAAAAACACTGGATGTAAATGGTAAGAAAGGTAAAGAACCTTAAAAGTTATAAAAACATCTGTCTTGTCATCAATCAAATGTTCCCCATAACCTACCCAGTAACCAAATGGTTATTCAATATATATACACCAAAATATACAATCTTTTGGTTATTGGGAAGGATATGGTGTAATCAAGCATTTAAACCAGTCTTAACTGTTATTAAATGTTGTTATTTAAAATAAGTTTTTGTATATAGTGTGACAGAAAAGATGTTCTTGCAATGTACAAATAGTAGCCAACCAGCTGCCAACCTGCAAGTTCCTCTTTATTGTTGACCTGATCATGAAATATTATATAATTAATAATAGGTTGATGTAAAACATTCAACTGACAGACTTAGGCCAAAATTTAACTTTTTGATTTTTTTGTGGATTAAACACCATATTGTTATCGACAATTTTTTCAGTATGATGTGGAAAAATACAAAGATTACAGTTAAAAGATTACACAGAGAAGCTGCCCCTGGTGGTGAAGTGGATTTATTAATAACAGAGGCAGAATTTATTGGGTAAAAATGTTTTTTTACCAAACCTTCTAGCCTTTTAAATTGTATGAAAATTTTCTAATTGAAAACTATGTTTGATACTGCAGGACAAACCGAAAACTATCTTTCATTTTCCTTAAAACATTTTGATGATACCTAACTTGATTTGTTTATTAGGGTAACAACTGGTTAGATTATACAGTCAACCTGCATAATTATAAAGGTCATCTTTAGGACCAGAGAAACTGACCTTGTAAGGAACGTGTCAGCTAGATTGAGATTCAAATGCATATGTACATCTACAGCTGGACTGGAAGAGAATAACCTGATGAGACTGGTTTCACTTATAAGAGGTTACCTTTTAAGCAGAACATTTTCATAAAATTTGTCATTCACAATGTTTACTCTCTACTTGCAGTAAACTAAGACATCCCAATATTCTTGTGTTAATGGGAGTGTGTCAGACCAACAATTTAGAAAATATGGTGTTACTATTGGAAAGAATAGATGAAGGTTCCTTGTATGAAGTTTTGCATCAAAAGGTATAGATGTTTGTTTGCTTGTGCATAAATCTTTTGTTCTCAAAAACATTTATCTTAATATTTAATTTTTTTGAATCCTACCTGATCCGTATGCAAATCCATGCCTGCATTTATTCCATGATGTGTATACCTTTTTAAATATCATTCATATTTAGTTCCACTTAGCAAGAGTACTATGTAAATGATTTTAGATAGCTCTTCATATAAATTAAGCTTGAACAAAGCCCCTGTTTGCTGGCTGAAAAACCTATTATTTTGCATTCACTATATAAAAGTAAGAAGATGTGGTAGACAAATATATCCATCAGATACCAAATGACCTTGATGTAAGCAACTATAGGTTACTTACAGTGAGCAAAACCCATAATGTAGGGTTTTATTTAAAAAAATGCATTAATTTTAAACAGACATTTTTGCATAAGTGTAACATTAAGCTTTTGTAAACATTTTACAGAAATTAATCTTTTCATGCTGATGGATTGGCACTGATGGCAGCAATGATGGTGGGTCTTTTTCAATTCCTCTTTCATCCCGATTGGCTGAAAAATAGGGAACCATTGTCATAGCCATAAGTAAATATAATTCTGATTCAGTTTAAGATGATAGTAATTAATTTGATTTAATAAATTCAATAGGGTTGGTGAGAGGCCATTGTTTATGCATTAGCATTGATACAGATCCAGGGCAGGGAAGCAGGCTCTTGATCCAAAATTCTGGATAAATAGCATTTAATGTTGGAAATTTATTTCTCACTGTGATTAACTTCTTTTTTAGTTAGAAAGGCTGTCAAGTAGCCATATTCATGATATAACATATCAGATCAGCAGTGCCTTGGTTTTCCTGCACGAACAGAACATTATCCATTGTTTTGTGACATCACATGCCATCATGTTAGTGAATTTATATTGTGCTAAACTAGCCAACTTTGAATATGTTGTAGACTGGTAAGTTAAAAAGGAAGATATATTTTAATGCATAATTTAAAATGGTAACATTCAACATTAATGGTTATCCTGGTACTGCACAATCCAGTATTACCAGTTCAGAAATAACAAAATGCAGAAGCAGAGATCCACATTACCAATGTTTTATTTCTATGTTAAAAAATAATTTCAAAAGCACATTTGAAAGTTAGAAAATTCATTGCACATCTAGGCATGAGATGAAACAGTACAAAATATGAAAAAAGGAGTGTTTATCTTACAGATTGGACCAATTGATTGACCAATAACAAATATCTGTGAACTTCATTTAAGTGTTTGAGAACAGCCTCAACACTTGAAAATCATTCATATCACTTCTAGTTTTTGTGTGATTTAAGTCAATGATTTAATAGGGAAGAATTTGTTATCAGTTCAAAATATTTTTTTTTAACTTGTTCAAAATAAAAAAGCCACTTTAATTCACCAAACATGCCAACAAGGTCTCTGTTTTCTGACTTCCAGTCTGACAATGATCATTGAACCTTAGCATTCAGCAATGTCTTGTCATTTCTGATGACTTTTCCAACAGCAAACATGATGTATCTGAAGTCTCCAACATTTTTTGAGTTAAAGTCAACTAAAAAATATCTCAATTTGATATGAAAAATGATACTTTCTAGTATTACTTATATTCAGAAATGTTCCTGACCACTATTTTTATACGCCTGTTTACAGGACGTATTATGGTATACCGTTGTCCCTCCGGGTTCTCGTTAAGACGCGTATACGCGTCCTGGACGCATAAAAATCTAGCTGGACGCGTCATTTTTGAAACCCGTGAGTCCACGGGACGCGTCCTCATTGTATCCCCTGAGTCCCAAACACATCGTTTTGCCAAGAAGATTCATGATCGTCACGTTGTTTTGACAGGAAACTAAACTGGAAGTCGATGTTGAAAAATTTATGTAATGCGTAGATGAATATTTTTGTTGACCGATAACTGTTTTTTAAAATTAAACGTCTTTCATTCTAAAATATATAATTCTGTTCAAACTGATTAATAAATATGTAATAGTTACCGATTTTTAAAAAAAATTAAGAGTATTTGAAAAGATTTCATATTTCCACGTGTTGAACATCACGTATTTATCAATTGAACCAAAGAAAGTAAAAATTTTTGAGAACTTGAAATGAAATGATATAATATTTCATAACTGTTGCTACTATGCATAAAATAGATAGAACAAATTTGATTTGAAATTTTACGGATAAGAATACCCGTAATTCTACTGGTCTTCGAATGATTTAACATTTTTCTCGTATTGTGCATGTTGAACATCGCTATCGTAAACAAGGTGAAAAATGTTTTGAATGATTGAAACAAATCCGATTACAAAATGATTAAAGAATAATTACTATTTAGCCAAGCTCAATATTTTGAACAGTGTTCACTTTAGATTTGCTTGTTTTTATATACATGAAATGCATGTATCTCTTTTTATTGTGTAAAAAAATTATACCAATGTATCAAGGGACTTGTAATAAGAATATTTTTTGATATATTGCCCTGTATTATATATTTAACCTGTAAATGGCTGGTTTTTTTGGCTCCTTTTAGGATTGCCTTTTGATATTGATAAAATTATGACTAGGGTTATTTAATTTTTCAGTTGTTATTCTGGTGCCCAAGTAGGATTGATTGATTGATTGACCGGTGTTTAACACCACTTTCATTACTGGTGTGCTATTTTGTGATCGCATGTTGGTGATATAATTAAAACTACCAATCAAACATGCATGGTTTTTAGTTTTATTTCATCATATTTCATCATATTATCAGACACAAAAAATTACATGCCTCCTGGACTCATCAAAATCTATTGGGACTCACCATTTCTAAAAGTGATGAGTCCCAGGACTCACCATGAAAAAATCCTAGTGAGAACCCTGGTCCCTCTGTCCGTCCGCCTTCAACATGTCGGACAATAACTCAAAAATTCTTTAATCAATTTCAATGAAACTTTGATGAATTGTTTATATCTATTGACGTGAGCTCCCTTTCGATATTTATAAATTTTAGATGTTACATTTCCTAGTTATGGGGTTTTATTCTGACATTAAAAAGGTGCATTTTCCAGTTTTCGCACAATAACTCAAAAATGCTTTGAGCAGTATTCATGAAACTTTAGTGAATTATTTATATCTATTGACGTGAGCTCACTTTCGTTTTTTATAAATTTTAGATCTTACGTTTCAGAGTTATGGGGTTTTATTCATTAAAAAAGGGGGATTTCCCAGTTTTCGGACAATATAACTCAAAAGTGCTTTGATCAGTTTTCATGAAAATTTGGTGACTGGTTTATATCTATTAAAATAACCTCCCTTAAGTTTTTTATAAATTTCTGAAATGACATTGAGGAGTTATGGAACTTTATTCTTTGAAAAAGCGATAGGCATATCATGCGCTCATGGCGCAGCTCTTTATTTCAATGTGAAATAATCAAATAAACAGACCAAAATCAGAAAACTTGTTTTACAGTAAAAAAGATATTTATTTTGGTAGGCCTTATCACTTATTTCTTCAGCTGAAATATTGTATCACTAAAGTTAACTCTAATATTAAAAGAACTTTATTTAAATGGTCAAAAATCCCAGTAGAAATTTCATGCTAAATGTGAGGATAAATAGAAAGCAAAATTATGTAACGAAAGGATGATTTAATTCAAATTTTATCAAGTGTTACTTGCAAAAATACATCTTAACAGTAGGAAAGTTGAAATTAGTTTTAGAGTTCTGACTACATGTATAGCAGATTATTGACATTGATTTTTTGTTATGAAACAGTGAAAAAGTAGATGTTGGACTTAAAAGTTTTGTGAACCAGAACATGTACCAAAATGTGGCTTACAACTGGATGGCTCCAGAGATCATGAGTGCAAGTTCTCCTTCAATGGCTTCGGATGTTTATAGTTTTGCTGTGGTAATTTGGGAAATGTTTCATGGTAAGATTAAGCTGAAATAAGATTAAGGTTTTATGATTCTGTGAGAAAACTAGATCAGTTTCACTCTAGTCCAATGGTCTGAATGAGTTTTACAAGTATACATAGTTGAATTCTGTTGATTCATATTGCTCTCCAAGACTGGGCAAAGGAAAATAACTGCAGCTCAACATTTCATTCAAATTAAGTTTACACTGAAATGAGATTTTTTAGATGATGACTGTGGATACATATTTTGTATAGCCGTAAGTATGAAAGGACGGAAAAGAAATTTGTCCAGAAATGTAATTTTTCTATTTCCGAAACAGATTGCAATTACTTTTTATCTCACCTGGCCCAAAGGGCCAAGTGAGCTTTTCTCATCACTGGGCGTCTGTCGTCGTCGTCTGCTAACTTTTACAAAAATCTTCTCTGAAACTTCTGGGCCAAATTTAACCAAACTTGGCCACAATCATCATTGAGGTATCTAGTTTAAAAAATGTGTCCGATGATCCCGCCCGCCAACCAAGATGGCCGACATGGCTAAAAATAGAACATAGGGATAAAATGCAAGTTTTGTCTATTATTTTGAAAACCGTTATAAATAAAGAAAATTTGACAGGGCAGAAATGTTCAGAATGTTGAGCTCTACCTATTGTCTATATTGATCTAATATTGACTAAATGATCAGCAATACAAGATCAACAAAACAGAGATTTTTGTCATGAATTCTATTCTCGCCTACAATCCTGGAGAGTGTCATTTGTTGAATATGCATATAGACCTAGGTGAGCGACACAAGCTTTTTAGAGCCTCTAGTTTTTTTTAGGTATCTTTTTTTTTAGAAAAAAAGTAATTAATCTCTCATTATTTGAAGATAAAAGTTTCATTTGACAAAAACTAGATAAGGAGTTTTTGTTTGTTTCAAGCATTTATTAAAGTGGACTTTTGTAATAGCTGTTAGTAGTCAGTTTGGTTCAATTTTGACATGAATTTTGCATATTATTTCCTTGGGCACTCAACTCAACTCATCTAGAACCTTTGCTTTTTTTATCTTCTGCAGGTGAAGTTCCCTGGGGAAAATTTGACACAGAAACTGTTCATTACAAAATACTCCAGGAGAGAGAACAGCTAGAAATAAAGACTGACAAAATACCAGAAGCGTTCTTGTTGATTTTGAAGCATTGCTTGCAATTAGACCCACTTCATCGTAAATTACAGATGTATAATATCAGGAATATCCTGACCATTCCTAAACAGGTGATTGTGTAATTTGTGCAGCAAAAGAGTATATAACAAAAATTGTAGCTTTCATCCCTGTACCGTAAATGTATTAACTTCTTATCTACCACAGGTACCTTTATAGTTCACTACTACACACAGTTGATTAGTTAGCTACTGCAGCTGAATTGTAGGTTAACTACCAGAGATAATTTGCAGTGAGAGAATTTTTCACAAATTGTTATTGCTGTACGTGTTATGAGTAGTCTAATTAAATGTTTAATTAATCAGTATTTATTGTATATTAATTGAAAAATAAAACAAATACCAAATCAATTTCTTTCTTTTCCTTATCAAGCTTGAAAGCTGCCGTAAACGGACGTAAACAGTTTTCAAATTATTTGTCCATGTTTGGCTTCTTCATCCTCAGAAGACTCACAATCTTGTTCCAACAAACTAAATTATCCCTTCCTATACTTCCAATTTTGCTTTCTTATTGCATAAATCCTTCAAATTCTTCACTTTCGCTAAACGATTTGAACAAAGAAGCCCATTCATCCGCCATTGTTTTAATCTCATTCCGAACACGTGTAAAATTCATCATAATTAAATGTATAAACACACACTTTTTATAGAAAATGAATGTATGAGTTGAAAGGTTATTCATTTGTAAAACCAAATTTCATTGGTTCATTTCGGGATTCCCCAACAGTTTTGTCCAATCTAAAGGGTTTTAACAGTGGTATATTTTACGGAAATATCTGTCACCGTGACTGCGCAAGTGTATGTTTACAGCGGATCTATCAGTCACTGCGAATACACGCTTGATTATGCAAGCGGATTTATCAGTCACTGCGGACAGAACGATGATAAAAACCGCGTATATATCCGTCAGTAGTAGATAAAGAGTTAAAAGTAATATACGGTCATGCCATTTCCAGTGATTTTAGTTAAAGTTATATGAAACTTCAAATTTAAAAAAGAAGTTGAATAAGTTTTAATATAATTGAATGGCTAGGTTTTATTATAAAACAAGTGTAAGTGAACTTTCTCTTAAAAGAAAACCTTTATCTTATCAAAATCTTTATAAATGTACCGCTATAGAATTTTCTCTTCCCCATACACTAATTTGCTAACTAACATAAACAAACATGCACTGTCAGGTAAATAGTAATAACTGATTCTTAAAGAACAAATTTAATACAGCAAATCATTTAACAACTGTTGAGGAAAAGTTTAATTATCAAATGGGAATGCATGGAAAATAAAATATATATATCATGGCTCTATCAATACACTTATTTGTTCCATGCTCTCTGTTGCTTGTTTATCAATGTCACGATCTGGTAAACTTCAGCATCAAACTCGAAAGTTATTAGCTTATGATCAACAATGACTGAATGAAATATTATTTGTCGATAATACCTTATAGATTCATATTAAATATAAAAAAACATGCATACAGGACTTAGTTTAGTATATATGCATGCATTGTTCAATAATTTTGACAACATCAAAATCACAAGAAACTTGTTTCTTATGATTTAAAAATAATCATAATTGTGTCTCTCTCATTTGGGATATTGTAAATTAAGTCAAATTTGAAAATCTGTGTTAAAAAAAATATTCTTACCTTGGTCATATACCATGTTTACCACTCTGTTCAACACAAAAATGTATTCTCATAATCAAGCTGTTTTAGAAAAATCAGTAAGATGGACATGTAAGGAGACTGAATCTATTATGTTTGGATTAACCTAGTTTTTTCTTGTAAAAAACACCTTCATCTGGGCTTTAATGACCTTTAAAAAAGAAAGGGATATATCATATAGAAGCTTGATCTAATACAAATGTACTGTTAAAGTTTTTAAATATTCAATAAAACCAATTTATGTATTAGTAAAAAATAATGTTACCATTAGATAAAATAGTATGATCTTCCTAATGTAATGAAAAGCTTCCCAAATTTTTGTCTGCATCAGTATGAATAAATTTTGTAAAATAAACCAAGTTAGATAGTATGCAATCATTTGCGATCCAAGAAAGGGAAATACTCTACTAGTACCTTAGGATATAGAATAGCCTTATTTGGAGTGCATGTATGTACTGTTTTCAAATCCAGACTGCATAAACTATTATCAATACTTCATGCTAGCTCAAATTTTTGTGCCTGAAAGCTTGATAAAATGATGCATTTTTATTTGTCAAATTTATAAGATACCGTATTGGATCTATTTAACTTTCTTTGATTTACTGACGATAGATTGTGAGACATGTTTATACAGCATATGTCATATCGATATGTAAGCCCTTAATTCTCTATGTTAATTTGTTTCAGCAATCATTTTGTCTTAAAACTAACAGATGTTTTGAGATTATAGTCCTTGTGCTCAAGATTTAATTATTAAAGCTGTTTTTCTTTATTGGATGGTAGCAAAACCATCAATCATGTTTTTATTCTTAAAACAACAAATTATTTGATTGTAGAATGTGTTACAATATACAGAAAGTTTATTGAAATTAGAGGTAGAAAAAAAACCTTCAAGATCTACAAACAAACCTGCTAGACCTCCAAAGACTTGGGAAACATCTAATAGTAACACACCAAGGAATCAAAGAATTATTAACTCACCATCACCTAAAAGAAGTGACAGGTCTATAAGTAAATCACCTAGAGCTGAATCTACACCCAGAAGAGTGCTTGAAGATGCTCATCACAAGGAAAGGAGGTTAGATTATTAGGCCTTCCCTTGAATATAACATGTTTTCTTTAAAGTGAATCATGCAATTTATAATGGATTTACATGATATAACTATCACCAGATACAGTCGAACCTCATTGAATTGTAAACTTGAAGGAGTCTAGGAAATTTGTTGGTCCTGGTAAAATTCACTTTGATCAATGAATTTTATCCCCTGATGAGTCGAACTCAGATAAGTCAGGTAAATTATATAGTCCTGTTGATGCAAAATTAATGTAAAGTGACCCCAATGTCTCAAAGTTCAAAAGTAAGAAATTTCAATAAATGAAGACTAAAATAATTCAAATTCAAATAGGATGTTTTTCTTTTGTAACCTAATTATTTTCATAAGTGATTAAAGCTGTGTAAATGTACTTGTTTGTATAACAATTAAAATTACATGTTTATGATGACCGGTAATTAACACCTTTGTTGATCGTCCAAGTGGAACTGAAGTGTGCTGAACATATTTCACCTGATTCAAAAACGGAACGAATTAACATGACCCAAGTTGAGATTGAATGAATCATTAGAATTATTATTCATTAATTACAGTAATTAAAAGGATTAAGACAAATATAACAAATTTACAGTAATTGAATGCAAAGTAGACAACCCTCATCGGTGATCTTTCAGGAATTGTTTCATTCCCCGAGTGATTCCATAATTTAGAGTGACTGACCTTTGTTAATATTTGTGTATTGATTTTATTTGTGAATGTTTTGTATCTGTACTTGTGTGTTAAATTATTTTATGATTGACCAAAAATATGGAGCTTGAATTAATATCGAAAAAAAAGACATACTGTTCAAAATATCTAATTTACACAAGTCTCATACTGTATTTCATGCATTCCAAATTTATGACGAAACACATGACCTCAGATGAGTCAAACCTCAGATAAGTCAAATACTTTCGTCCAGTCCCTTTGACTTCGACTTAACGAGGTTTGACTGAATACTAGAAAATTACCATACATCTGACATAAGAACAGAGCTTTCACATTGCTGTTCATCTTGAAATTTGCTGAAATGGCATACTTTGATGAGCTAGGGAACTCACTCTGCAACAAGGTTTACACTTGTTATCTTTAATTGTACTCTTTATTTGAGAAACATCCCAAAGAAGAGACATAACAACCCTTGATTCCATTAGCATTTTTGTGTCATTGGCAGTATAAACATTCAGGTTCAATCTGTTGTTAAAGTATTTTTAGACATCAATAACTTTGTCAGTTAAAAACTTAATGGAATTTTACAAAACTTGGACAGAAACTTCATGGTTTCCTTGAATCTGTTATGAATACAATGTAATAGCATTTCATCAGATTAATGGTTAAAATTGTTTAAATTGTGAAATTGTTTTTTACATGGATTAGGTTGGATGTGAGAATTGGAAGAGGACTATTATTACTATCAAAATTTGTTTTCTAATAAATGTATGCATATTTGGACAAACATTCTGCCATCAATACATTCATTTTTGTTGTTGAACACGTTTAATTCTGGACATAATAAGTTGGAGCACAGTGTGTACTTAATTTTACAAATGAGGACTGAGAAAATTTACCTGTAGATATGTCTCTGTTTTTAGGTTCAACAATAACCAGTCCAGTAAACTTCCCATTTCTCCTGATTATCTGCAGGATGAAAGATTAAGATTTGTGGACAGAATGAAGTTTAATCATAAAGAGTAAGTTAACAATTTTCAATGATGGAGTCTATGCGATGATATGAGATTGAAGCATCATCTGTTAAGTTTGTTATTTGGCTGTAAGTGTGTGTATTAAAATCTGTTTACCCCTGATACCAAGGTCTCTTGTGGTGAGAACTCTAATATAAAAATTGAATTTTTGTGAAAACAAAACAACAAAATGTCTAAAGATTGGGAGAATGAATGGGAAAGTGACATATGTAGTATGCAATCTTTGCAAACCAACCCATACTGCGATGATCAACACTTAAAAACCAGTCAAAATATATCCGACTTGACTGACAATGTAAACAACATGGCGCCAACATATGCAAAAGTAACTGCTGGCAACTTAACAATTAATACAGATACAAATGATACAAATGATACAAACGATACAAACGGTGTCAAACCAATATTCATTAAAGAAACAGACGTATTTGGAGCCTCAAACCCAGCCAAAGAACTCTGGCTTTCCCACACAGAAATATTCAAAGGGATGGCAATGTCAATAAAAAGAGAACACATAAAGGGAATTCAGAGAATAGGCAAAATGTGGAGGTTATACCTAGATACAGAAGAAGACAGACTTAAACTCCTAGGTGAAGGAGTAGTTCTCAGAGGAAAAACTATCCCCCTTCTTCCCCACAACCCAAACAATCCAAACTACAAAAGCAACCTAAGAAAAGTCAGAGTAAAAAATGTGCCATTGTCTGCTGATGATGGTCAGATACAGAGAGAATTAGAGATGAGAAACATAAAAGTCATTTCATTATACAGAGAAAGGCTGAGAGTTGACAATAAAATGACAAACTGCCAGACAGGAGACAGAGTATTTTTTTGTGAGAAATTTGAAAAACAATTACCCAAGACAATGCAATTCGGGAAATACCTAGCTAGGGTTTCACACTTTGGACAGATAGATGAAAACACTCTATTTATTTGTAGTAAATGCCTCCAGAAAGGCCACTTTACAAGTGACTGTCCCAATGAATGGGTGTGTAGGGGCTGCAACAAGTCAGGCCACAAATTTTTAGAATGTCCCACCTTTTTGGAAAGAATGAAGCAAAAAGAAACAAAAGACCAACAAGAAAAGGAAAACCAAATTATTATACATGACTCTACAAGACAAGAAACAGAACAAAATGAGCACATAGAAGAAATTACAAATCAAAGCAACCAAGAATGCGACACAACAGATGAATGTACAGATCCTTCTAAACAACCAAGTGCAATTTTGGAACAGAACAGGAAAGTAACTACAAATGACAAAAAAGATCAAGCCCAAGAAATGAAAAAAGAAAGAAAGAAGAAAAACATGTCAGAAAAAAATGAAAGCATTTCGCACAGTGTAGACTCAACAACTAAAAATACTGATAAACCAGCAAAGGAAAGAACAAGTCAAAGACAATTGGACATTAACAGATTTACTACTCCAAATAGAAGACAAGAAGCTCTGAAAGGAAGAACACCACCAACTCCACCAGACCAAGATAGAGAAAACAAGTCTTCAAAAACTTAATCAAATAATTAAAACATATCTTTTATCTTAACATAAAAAAAGTAGAACAAAAATAATGTCATTGTATATATTGTATATAGTCTTTTTGATTGTCATTTATCATTTATTACCAAAGCATAATAACACAAGTGCATTCAATATGTCATACACTCAGTATCAACATAAAAGCAAATGCTATCTTAATTGTCTAACTCTAAAAATGTTAACATTGATGATACCAGCACTTTTGTATTTTATCAACACATTTACCTTAAAGAAATGTAACTCAAATACATTTTCAAAAATGGGTTTTCCCATAACTATTTTTAGTAACAAAACAAACATTATTCGCAACAAGTATAACGTAATAAAATCACAACAAAAAGTATTTAAAGAAATGAAAACAACGACTATACTTACATTAGCTGTTCTGACAAGTACCGCTTGTCTAATCTGTTCTAATAAACCTGAAATTATTTCAATTAAAGTAACTAAAAAATAAAGTAATACATATTTATAAAAATAATTTTTCATATTATTATTGCATGACGATACTGTTTGTAGTTAGATGTATTAAGGTACAGAAACAAAAGTTATGTAACACGGTAATGAAATCGTGTAGTAAACGAAGGAATTTATGTCTTAGAACTTGTGGTATTACTATTACGCAATGTGTACATTTACAGCTATATAGACATTGGTTAGTATGTAATTTGTTGTATATTATTTGTTACGAGAACACAACAGAGAAATCAAAAGACTATTTAACATCGTATAGGTATTCTCTGTTTTTATCATACATGTGTTACAGTTTGTATGATACCCACTTTGTACGCGCATGGGTTGTCTGCCTGCGCTATTGTTATATACTCGTATTTATATATTATATACATTGCCCAGTATGTAAAACTCTTATAACATGTATAAGATCAGAAAACATCATAAAGTTTATATGTAAAGTAAGAACAATCATGTTAAACTACCATACACGGCACCCGGGGACTTCAACTAAACTAGTTATCTTTCAAAAAAAAGCAAATGACATAAAAAAAATCTAAATTTAAAGTCCCAGAAAAATATAACTATACAAATAACAAGTGTGTATGTGTGAAGAAAAAAAAAAAGAACAACGTGTATTTGTATCCATACTTTTTAAAAGTAAAAGTATGCTTAGGAAGGAAAGAATACATAAACCACCTAATTTTAAAATCAAAATTGTAAACACCTTTGAAATTTTTATGAATGGCATTATAAGTAATTCGACAACTCTAAACACCTTTATCATCAGGTTGTCACGTATTACACCTTCCGAATCTATCAACAAAAAAAGTAATTACAAGCCAGTCAAGCGTACTTTAAATAAAGTAAATAAAAAATTTAAGAACAATCAAAACAATACTCAGTATGATAAAAGACATCCATATTTGCACGCTTAACGTCAAAGGACTCAGAGATAAAGAGAAAAGAGCAAGATTTTATCAGTGGATAAAAAATCAAAAAAGTCTTATAACTTTTATACAAGAAAGTCATTTTGACGAAAATCTAGAACAAAAATTATATACTGAAACTAGTAACCATTTCTATTTTAGTCATGGTACAACCCAAAGTAAAGGTGTAGCTATTATAATTGATAATAGACTAGAATGCAAAGTAATCAATGAAAACAAAGACAAAGACGGCAGAATACTAATGTTAAACATAGAAATAGAAAATATAATTTATTCGCTCATTAACATCTATGCACCAAACATAGAAACTGAAAGAAACAAGTTTTATAAAAATCTGTCTGATTTCATAAATAATTATGCAATTGGAACTGTCATAATAGGAGGTGATATGAATGATGCACTGTCAAACTTAGATAGAAAACTCGCTTGCGATAAACGTAAAAATATAAAACCAGTGAATGGTTTAAAAACTTTAATTAAAACGCACAATCTTATTGATATTTGGCGATATTTAAACCCCCAAAAAATTCAGTTCACCTGGAAAAGACAAAATTTCAGTCAAGCAAGTCGAATTGATTACTTTTTAATAAATAAAGACTTTGTACTTAATACAAAATCAAGTGATATTAGACCCGCATTAATAAAAAGTACAGACCACCAAGGCGTATCTCTCAAATTACAAAGCGTAACTGCCGAAAGTAAAGGCCCGGGATACTGGAAATTAAACAATTCTATTCTAGAAGAAAATGAATATTGTAAAGAAATAGAAATAATAATTGCAAAATATAAGACTATCATGCAAGACACAATTATGGATTTGCATCTTCTTTGGGATGCGATAAAACTTGATATTAAACTGTTTACCATAAACTATTGCAAAAGTAGAGCATACAATAAAAAAAATGAAATAAAACAATTGGAAAAAAAATTAACCATTTTAACTGAAAAATATCAGAAAAATGAAAACAATGATGTATTGCAAAAAATAAATCAAATTGAAAATCAGCTAGAAAAGCATTATGAATATAAAGCAAAAGGCGCCCAATTAAGATCGAAACAAGACTGGGTAGAAAAAGGCGAAAAAAATACAGCATATTTTTTAGGCCTAGAAAAAAATAAACAAACAAAAAAAACAATTATAAAACTAAAAGATCACCAAGGAAATATTGTTACAGATCAAAGCGAAATACTTCAAATTGAAAAGAAATTTTACGAAAATCTATATTCAAAAGAAAACGAAGATATTGTCCAATCATGGGAATATATTAACAGTACTGAAATAAAAAATAAATTATCAAAACATGAAAGTCAAACGTGCGACGGATATGTTACAATAGAAGAATTAACACTAGCAGTTAATAATTTAAAACCCAATAAAAGCCCAGGTAAAGATGGTATCACGACAAATTTTTATAAAAAGTTTTGGCAATCATTAGGTCCAATCCTTGTTAACATTTTTAATACAAGCTATGACAGGCAAAAGCTACCATTTTCCCAAAGACAAAGTATTCTTAATCTAATATACAAGAAGAATGATCCACTAGATCTTTCAAATTATAGGCCAATTTCCTTATTAAATTCAGATTATAAAATATTATCATACACATTAGCTCAAAGAATAAAAAATGTACTAAATCTAATTATAAACGCAGACCAAACAGGGTATATAAAAAAACGATATATTGGTTTCAATCTCAGACAAATACAAGATATCATAGATTACGCCGATAAATTTAATGTTGAAGGTGCAATTTTGTTTCTAGATTTTTCAAAAGCATTTGATACTTTAAAATGGTCCTTTATGTACCAAACTCTCGAATATTTCGGCTTCAATAGTTCATTTATAAACTGGATCAAGACGTTATATTCGGATATAAATAGCTCAGTGTTCAATAATGGATGGATTTCTGCACCAATTAGTCTAAAAAGGGGGGTACGTCAGGGATGTCCTTGTTCTTCCATGATCTTCGTGATCGCAGTAGAAATCATGGCATGTAAATTAAGAAATGATAATAACATTAAAGGCATTGAAATAAAACTTGACCATTCAAAACATAATTTGAAAATTTCCGAGTTAGCAGATGACACCACTTTGTTTCTCAAATCCAAAAATGAAACTATAGCAGCATTAAACGTTATTGAAATATTTGGCACATTTTCTGGTCTTAAATTAAATAAAAATAAAACGGAAGGCATTTGGATAGGAAAACTGAAAAATTGTAAAGAAAAAGTAGATAATATAAAATTCACAGATAAACCCGTTAAAGTGTTAGGCTTGTATTTCGGTACAAATAAAACAGAATGCGCAAAACTAAATTGGGAAAACAAGCTTGAAAAAGCCAAAAAACTTATGAAATCATGGGAAAAAAGACATCTTACTATCATCGGTAAAATTTTAATAATCAAATCACTTATAATTCCACAATTCACATATTTAGCAAGTATGACAGTCATAAATAAAACGTATATTTGCAATTTAGAAAGAGAAATTTTTAATTTTATTTGGGACGGAAAACAAGATAAAGTAAAACGATCAACTCTTATATCAGATTACAGCAAAGGAGGACTCAATATGATTGATATCGACAGTTATTTTAACACACTTAAAATTAAATGGGTATCAAGATTAATAGAGTCAAAACATGAAAATTGGTCAATTATTCCAAGATTCTTTTTTGATAAATATGGGGAAAACTTCCTTATCTTTAAAATGAATTTAGAAATTAATAATTTAAAACCACTTAAAATTACAACTGGATTACCAGAATTTTATCTAGATATTGTAAAGTGCTGGATACTTAAAGGTGGAGGTCAAACTAAATCGCCCACTAACTTTAAAGATATACGCAAAGAAATTATATGGGGTAATAAAAACATAAAAATAAAAAACAAACCATTATTGAAGTTTAGCTGGATCAAAAGCAACATAATCTATATCAATGAACTTATTGACGAAAACGGTCAAATCGATGAAAAGACAATACTGCGAAAGTTAGAAATAAAACACAACTGGATAACCGAACTATCAATACTAAAAAAAGCTATACCAAGAAGTTGGACAGATATCCTAAAAACAAATAACTCTGTTAAAACCCGAGTTAATATTAACGAAAAATTAATTAGAATGAATAAAACAGAAATAAATTTATCAGACCTAAACAATAAAACCGTCTATCAATATTTTATAAAAAACAAAATAACTCCTAACATTGGAATAATAAAATGGCAAAGAATATTAAACGCAAAACAATTACAAATTAGACAATCCTTATCCTTTACAAACAATGAAATATACATAAACAAACTTAAAGTTTATAAATGGAAATTATTTAGCTATATATTACCGAACCAAGAAAATCTTTTCAAATGGAAAATATCAAATACCCCAGAGTGTGCTTTATGTAAATGCACAGATAATTATCAACATTTTTTTAACGACTGTAGATTTGTTAAAGACTTTTGGATTAAAATAACAGAAAAAATGAAAAACATAAACTTTTGTAAGAAAATAACCCTAATAGATATAGTCTTTGGATATAAAATCGGAGACCGACACTATAATGATATAAACCTTATTATAACTTTGATAGGTTTCTCAATTTACAAATCATTTTACACATCAGAACAAAGAACAAAATCCGCCGACATATACACTATCTTTAAAAACGAATTTGAATTATACTTTGAAGTAAACAGACATGTGAAAGAACGCAAAAGTAATCTAATTCGCAAATTTCAAAAATTTCTGTAAAATGTGCTAGATTAAAATATATATATATAAATACATATATAGTTGTGAAGCATAATGTATAGAATAATAACTAATGTATCTATAAAATGAGATACTACACGTGCAAATTTAAAATTGACACCTTTGCGTCCGTTAAGAAAAATCTAAAATTTCACTTAAATTTTAAAACTTTAAATCATAAAACAAAATTCACGAAATATTATGAAAGACAATAAACATTCTATTTGGATAACAAGAAACATATAATACCTTACCTTTTGATTATAATCCAAAATCAATAAGATTAACACATGCACTATATTATCCTTCAATCATGTCAGGTTACGATTATTTGATCACACTGGACACACGCACGATTTTTCTAAACGAGTAAAATATGTGTCAGGTAGATTGTATAAGGATGGAAAAGTAAAGGTCAAATCCGGAATAAAATATACGTAAATGCAAATTTAAATGATTTGCAATTATATAAGTTTATATTATAATATATTTGTATTTGTAATTAGCTAACAATTATAAAGTAAAACTTATCTTTAAGACACCCTGTTCTTAAAGATATTAATATATCAGGGTACCTTGTTTGTGAAAGCTGTAGCAATAAGGTTATTGTAACAGCTTTAGACCAATAAATCAATTATCATAGTCTAAAAAAAAAAAAATCTGTTTACCTGTGTGGTACATTGAAATCTATATTCAAGTGGCTTATACTTATTAATATAAAATCTATTTTCCCCTAACTGTTGAATACAAATTAAAAGGTATGTATGGTGTATGTTAACAAGGCAGCAAATGTGTAAAGGTGTATTTGTTCTGTCTAACAAAAGTTCCCCTGGAAACTTGGTTATAAACAATGCCATAATATATGTTCCTCAACAGTTGGATGAAGGAACTTCTATTTCATGTCACCTGTACATCACCAATAAAAAAGAAAAAAGACATCTAGAAAGCAATTTACTGTCTTCAGCAACAGATAATTGTCTATTAAGTTATCATTTTTTTCTAAATATGTGCATCATAATCATTGCAAGCATGTTCATAATTTAACTTTGTTTTGAAATAAAATCAATAAACTTTTATATGATGATACAAAACTGTTAAGAAACTTTGAATGGCAAATATAACTGCTGTCAGTCATTACTTTAGTTTAGACTGGGAATTGAAAGAAGAACAACAAGGAAGAGATTACTACTATACTGTCAGGGTAAACAAAGATGATGAACAGAAGTTCACTGCCCCATCAGAACAGAGTGAAAGTGAGGCTGGTAGTTCTGTCAGGTAAATAAGTTTAAAAGAAAGTACTTTTCTTCAAAATTTCAAGAAACTTTGCCTTAACATTTTTACATAAAAGGTGATTTGGGGTATATATCAATGGGACATCAAAACAAAAAAATCAAAAGTCCACCACAATTAAACTCTTTTCCACTCACTTTGATGCTATCCAGTTTGACTTTTTTTATTGTGTATTTCAACAATCAGATACTGGTACTTAACACTAAAAAAATCTCTTTAATACCATTTATAAGTCTATTTTAGCATGATACTTACCAACTTATTAGAGTAATTAAAGGATGAATGAGGTTCAAAGATTTTTCTCTAAATCATTTGACAATGTTGAATATACGCAACAAATAATTCAATGATTGTAGCTAAAAACTATAGCATCCACAGGAACAAAAAAAAAATGATATTTGAAAAATATGATAAGGTAATTCCATATTTGAAAAATAAGAAATGAATACTTGTGATCAAATGTACTTATCTGTCTTTCTAGTGATCATGTAAACCATGGTAACAGATCCCTGGCAACAAAGTTCAGCTATCTGAAGGTACAGCAGCAATGTTTGAGTCCCCCTGGTAAATATGTCAAACCTGCTAGTCACTGTATAGACCCCAAGTTAGAATGTGCCCCTGAGAAGAAGTTATCTACTGCTGGCAGTGTGTTTGCTCTCTATAATATGGACTATCATACACCACAGAAAGTTACACGGGACCCTAGAACTCCATTATTTAATACAATGCCTAGAAAGAGACAAAAAATGTCTGTTCAGACACCAGAAATTACACAGTAAGTGTTATTTTATTTATTTTTTCTCATTCTTTTATCTTATTTCAAAATTAGACAGTGATAAAAGTTTGAAAACAAGTAGGCCTGGTCAAAGCAGTTTTCTTGAAAGGCCTGTTAAATTTGTGAAAATTATAACTGAATATTGTTTAAGGTATTAATTACTGTAACATGATTCTTAATGACTGCTGGATTTTGTCAACATTTTCAGTCTTTATAAAAATAAGGAGATGAGGTATGATTGCCAATGACACAACTATCCACCAAAGTTCAAATTATCTGCATAATTCTTAATTGTAGCTACAGTCAAACCTGCCTTAACGGTCACCTCATTTCAGCCGTCACCTGCCTGTAACGGTATATAATTTAAATCTTTTTGTCACCTGTCTAACACGGTCTGAAGGTCACCTAATTTTGTACGAAATTGTCATTTCAACTTTTAACAACAGTCATTTTTATGATTAATCATTGCAAAAAATATATGTGATCAGTATGGAGGTCAAAATGATAATCGGAACTTGTTTGCAACCCAGATTGTGCAATTGGAGGTGAATTTGTGAATTTCTCGTGTTCCACTCCTTTCTGTTTCCATTGAAAAACGTTTCATACTAATCATAGCCTTATTTCTCCAAGAATAATAACTATTTCCAATGTAATCTCGAAATTTAGAGCGCTGGAATCCTCCATTTTTATTAGCTCACTGGGGCCCAAAGGGCCCCATGTGAGCTTATGCCATCACTTGGCGTCCGTCGTCGTCTGTTGTCGTAAACTATTTCAAAAATCTTCTCCTCTGAAACTACTGGGCCAAATACCTTCAAACTTTAACTATATGTTCCTTAGGGTATCTAGTTTATAAATTGTATCCAAAGTTTTGATCCATTAACAAACATGGCCACCATGGCTAAAAATAGAACATAGGGGTCAAATACAGTTTTTGGCTTATATCTCAAAAACTAAAGCTTTTAGAGCAAATCTGACATGGGATAAAATTGTTCAATTGGTCAAGATCTATCAGCTCTGAAATTTTCAGACAAATCGAACAACCCATTGTTGGGTTGCTGCCACCGAATTGGTAGTTTTAACAAAATTTTGCAGTTTTTTGTTATTATTTTGAATATTATTATAGATATATATAAACTGTAAGCAGCAATAATGTTCAGCAAAGTAAGATCTACAAAAAAGTTAATATGACCATAATTGTCAATTGACCCCTTAAGGAGTTATTGCCCTTTAAAGACAATTTTACACAATTTGTTCCAAGTTTGCTAACATTTAAAAATCTTCTCCTCTGAAACTACTGGGCCAATTACCTTCAAACTTTAACTAAATGTTCCTTAGGATATCTTGTTAATAAATTGTATCCGAAGTTTGTATCCATCGACAAACATGGCCGCCATGGCTAAAAATAGAACATAAGGGTCAAATGCAGTTTTTGGCTTATATCTCAAAAACTAAATCTATTAGAGCAAATGTGACAGGGGTAAAATTGTTTAATTGGTCAAGATCTATCGGCCCTGAAATTTTCAGACACACCGAACAACCCATTGTTGGGTTGCTGCCACTAAATTGGTTGTTTTAAGGAAATTTTGCAGTTTTTGGTTATTATCTTGAATATTATTGAAGATAAAGATAAACTGTAAACAGCAAACATGTTCAGCAAAGTAAGATCTACAAAAAAGTTTATAAGACCAAAATTGTCAATTGACCCCTTAAGGAGTTATTGCCCTTTAAGGACAATTTTACACAAGTTGTTTTATGTTTTTTAACTTTAAAAATCTTCTCAAATGAATCTAGTATAAATTTGGTATTTCATTTCCTTGTACGTCAAGAAACATAGACACTATGGCTAAAATAGAACATATGGGTAAAAAGCAAAAATAATCATTGATGAAAGATTTAAGCAAAAAAAATAACAGGTGAGCGATTCAGGCTCTTGAGAGCCTCTTGTTGTTATTATTTTGAATATTGTTATAGATATATATTAACTGTAAGCAGCAATAATGTTCAGCAAAGTAAGATCTACAAAAAAGTTAATATGACCAAAATTGTCAATTGACCCCTTAAGGAGTTATTGCCCTTTAAAGACAATTTTACACAATTTGTTCATCAAGTTTGCTAACATTTAAAAATCATCTCCTCTGAATACAGGTGAGCGATTCAGGCTCTTGAGAGCCTCTTGTTTTTTCTGCTACACAAACAATAACTCTACCGATTGAAAACACTAAAACAATTTGCCCGTATCCCGGCCACATATGATGTCAGAATCTGAATTTTTATCAAAACCTCATTTAAAAGGTCACCTCTCTTGAGTGGTCACTTTGAGTTTTGATACTTCCCATGAGTGACTGCTTAATACAGGTTTGACTGTATTTTGTTTAATTTTTTGTATCAACAACAGCCCCTTACAGAAGTGACATTATGATGATTGTTTCCCTTGCAATGAGGACAGACAGTGCTTCATATTAATTATTTCTTAATTTGTTATACTGATTTAGAGTTTGATTGATTTCATATACACAATGAACAGATATTCGTGCTTCTATCTTTGCATAGTAAGATTTATATATTTTTGGTGTAAATAAACCAGCAAATTTAAACAAAATATAAGAATATTATCCTTTATAATAAAAATCAGATTGTATTTACTCAAAGCTTTATGGGGACCATTTCATGATGACAATATGTATTCCCTACATTTCTGTGCAAAAGGGCATTTAAAGATATATTAAGTAAGCTTAGCATCTATTGCTATCTTCTCACCATCAGTTTGTATAAGTTCTGTGTTGAGTCCACTATTTGAGCCTTTTTAATTTTTAAATTTCAAAGAGTTATTTTGGCTCCTTGAAACTTAAATTTCTAATGGGGACAATAGTTGGTTAATCAATTAGTAACTCTCTGCAAACATATATAAAATGGACAGGACACCTGTTCCAATACCCACATATATACTGAACCAGTAAAAGCAACTGAGTTAGACTTTTTAATGAAATGCAATAATTTAATTTATTCTAACATTTGAATCAATCACCGTGTTTAACACCTTTATGACTAAGCATTCTCTGGAGTGTTCTTCTGACCACTTAACTTTACTTTAGAAAAAGGTGCACAAAAGAATGCACAGTAAAAATCAGTTAGAAAAAAACACTTAACTAAATAATATTTGTTCTAAAAATGACAATGTTATTAAAAATAGTTTGAACTTCTCATGACTTTCCTTTATTTGTAGAATTGGACCATCAGTAAAAGATTGGTATGGTGGTAATGGTAGTGTAAAGGATTTAGTTGATTTATATCAGAAACAAGTCAATGAGGTATAATATATATCCCACTTTGCCACACCAGATTTTTGGTGACTTATTTGAACCAAATTTGATAAATCAACAGTATACAATATCAGTGCATGCAAGTAATATTTTTTAAATGATGACATAACAGTTATCAAATTTTTCTCTAGTACTAAGGAAAAGCAGTTCGCATCATTTGAAAAACAGGAGTTAATTCCCTTTACAGATTTTAGGAACAAAGGTGGATTAATTGATTCTGTTGTTGTCCCCTTGTAAGTTTTATTTTCCTTTTAATGAAATACAATTCTATTACAAATGAAAATAAATTATGGGTGGTTGGGTATAAAAAAAAATGTTGTTGAACTCCTATTTACATTTTCTCCTGGAATAACCCTAATACTAGATAAAGATATGACATTGGTAGCAGGTGACTAACAGCTTAGGCTTTGGAGCCTCTATTTTTTTTATTATATTTTTCAGAAAGATTTATGGAATTATGTCATTTTTGTCCATGTTAACCATTAACAACTTGTACAAGCTTCTCTGATTATGTGATTTAAAAAAAGCACCAATATGATTGTCTAACAGAAAACTTCATTTCCTCTTTGAAATTTTTTATACTTTATCACAAATAATTTAACTATTTTATGAGGGACAGCATCAAGGATTCGGGAATCCTATAGTTTTACTATGACCATCTGTCAGTAAACACAAAAACACCAAAAGTATGGATAAAACATAAATGAAACAGGACATTTGACCTTTCAATTCTCAAGGCTAAATATCTATTTTCCAGGCTAGTATACCAATTTAAAGGGCAACATAGAATTGTAATTTGACTGGTACAGGTGTTTTTCAAATGACCATTAAGCGGGGGTATCATAAATGACTAGTTTTTACTGTAGCTGACAGTTTACTTTTTGTGATTTATTGAACAGCAAAACCAATACTTATATTCATAAGTGCTATAATGAAATGAAAGCTTCAATAAAATATGATAAATAATTAATTTAGTAATATGTTTTCATTGTTGTAGCATTCATTTCAGCAAGATTTAATAAAAGGAAAGCTTTCTACTGTTGATATCAGCCGTCATCATCAGGTATGCAGTATTAGTTTTTTTTATAGAATAAATATACACCAATTAGATGAAATAATATTGTAGTGAAAGACAAGTATTTTGGCTCACAAATGGCCTTTGTCATTTTCAATCTTTTTTTGTAAATGAAATAATACAACAGATACGGAAGTCCTGTTTATGACAGAAACTGGTGATCTGTAAGGTATTTCATCTACATGCCACAATACAGCATGTACTGTGTTACTCTAGATACAACAACATGGAAAGGCATTATTGGTCTAATAAAGACTTCATTTTACTATAGCTAAGTTGGCGCAGTGGTCTAGGTGATACCACAATATCACAGTAATGGGGAGGGGGAGGAAGGGGATCAAAAGGCACTTTTATTTTACCCTGCAATGCATAAGGGGATTATTTCCATTAATTGTACTGGCTATGAAGCAAGGAATTTACTCCAATTTTAGCTTTGGACTAGGCAGCCAATTGTTGCAGACATATTATTTAGCTTTTTTTAGCTCACCTGGCTGAAAGGATAATTGAGCTTTTCTCATCACTAGGCATCCGTCGTGGTCCGTTAACTTTTACAAAAATCTTCTCCTCTGCAACTACTGGGCCAAATTTAACCAAACTGGGCCACAATCATTATAAGGGTATTTAGTTTTAAAAAATGTGTCTGATGACCTGAAAACCATAATAGATAGATAGAAACTTTAAATGGCAAAAATGATCAGCAAGACAAGATCTTCAAATAAGTTAACATAACTGAAATCGTTAGTCAACTCCTTATTGAAGCTATTGCTCTTTAATGACGATTTTTCCCATTTTTGCCTATTATCTTAAAAACTGTAATATATAGATAGAAACTTTAAATATCACAATTGATCGGCAAGACAAGATCTACAAATAAGCCATAATGGTCGAAATCTTCAGTCTACTCTTTATTTGAGTTATTGCCCTGAAATGATAATTTTAGCACATTTATGCAATTTTTGCCTATAATCTTTAAAACTATAATATATGGATAGAAACTTTAGAAAGGAAAATTTATCAGCGGGATAAGATCTACAAATATGTTAACATGACTGAAATTGTCAGTTAACTCTTAATAGAGTTATTCCCCTTTAATGATGATTTTTACTAAAAGTGGCCATTGTTGAAGATGTAGGTGAGTGAGACAGGCTCTTTAGAGCCTCTAGTTTTGGGAAGTGCTCAACATGTAATAAGTATAGCAAAGAATCATCTCAAGATCTGTAACAAAATTCATTTTTATGCACCGCTACGATATTAGAGGGGCATTATGTTTTACTGGTCTGTGCGTCCACCTTTCTATCGGTCCTGCATCAGGTTAAAGTTTTTGGTTAAGGCAGTTTACCAGTTCACAAAATTTTATTGCAGAACATGAAAACTAATATGGTTGATATTGCAGAACATAACTCCCAAACACTTAATGATATTGGAGTTGTTAGCCATCTTTGCAGGAAATAGTCATTTTTAATAAAAAGAGGAAATTTTGATGCAAAAATTAATTTATTTGTGAGACTCTACTATTGAGGAAATATATGTTTGTTTAACTTTGAAGGGGTGCTCTAAACAACTTGTGGTTTTAATGCCGACAGCAATATAATGATGGCTGCCTGTTTACAAGAACTTCTACATAGCATTTATATTGCAGGTTCAATCTATTTATCCTAATATACAGAACATCAGTCATTGTTATAGTCCAGAAAACTGCAACAATCAAGGTATTTTTGTCTACCAAAAGATATTTACACATTAATGAAACTCAAAATAAATTGTGTTAGCTTTTCTTTTTTTTATTTATATATTGCATACGATAGTTTTACATGTCATATGAAATAAAGTTTTCAATTTTGATTTTACCACCATATAGTGGGTTGCAACATTTTGTGGTACATATTAATGGAGAAACGCTGCAACCCACTATATGGTGGTGAAATCAAAATTGAAAACTTTTTTTTCTATGTACAACTATTTAATTCAATATATAAATAAAAAAGAAATGCTAACACATAGTTTAAATTTAACACATTTTACTTTGGGTTTCTTTCTCCTTTAATATGGAACTAATTAGATATGTACTTTTCAATATTGCAGCTACTATTCCGATTTTCGTGTTTCCAAAACATCATATCTTTAAATTTGTGTTAGGGCTATTCCAGAAATAAATGTGTGTGTGTGTGGGGTGTTGGGGGTGTTGGAAGGCACTTTTTATTTAACTTCGCCATGCATAAAATTTTAATTGATTATTTCATATCATTGTTAAGGCTATCTGTCTAAAATAACCACCACCCATCAAATTTTAATAAAAGTGCCTAATGAACCACGCCTCCCCCATTCAATTAATTCTGGAAAAGACCTTCTATATTGATATCATTTATTGAAATAGACAATGGGAAAGATAGCTATATACCTATATACTATACAGCCTTTCCTTTCTTTATAAAGTATGGCCAAGTTATAAATTATTGTACCATATTATTGATAGAATATTGTTGTAATATAAATATTTTTTAGTAATTTTCAGACATATTTAAATTAAAAGAGATGTGGAGTTAATAGCAATGAAACAGCAACCAAACAGCACAAAAAAACTTAAGTCATGAAGTGGTTACATTACAGTCTTAAGAGATGGATAAGCTATAAACAAAAAGAACCATACATTTATCATTAAAATGATCAGTATGTCTGCATAATTTATATATTTGTTTACCAAAACCATATAAGGACTATTTCTAAAAACTGGGAAAAGATTAATAACTTCTCCAGAAAAAAAGGTGAATTTAAACAGAGTAGATTTGATACTGCTAAGATTTAATAAGTGTGTATATTTTTTAGTAGGACTAAAACTTTCGAAAGAACCTAGACGTCAATCTTCTGAATGTGAAATAATTAGTTGCAGCAGTTTAACAACAGTTTCTCCTGAGGATTGCAAGGGTAATCTAGATGAATAACTAGATGATGAAGAGGTTTTTGTCTCTCCTTGACAGAGTCAAAAAGCGAGACATAGGTATGCTGTTTCCGGCGTCGGCGTCGTCAACAATGTATTAGTTTGTGATTAGATCTAGTTTATGGTGAACCACTAGTGGAAGGTCAATGATATTTGGTATGCAGTTGTATTAGCATTGGCACATCTCATTACCATGGAGATTATTTGGCGCCGCCCCCTCAGTCATGTTCTATTGACTTTGAAACTTTGCTTAGTTTACATGTATTAGTTTGTGATTAGGTCAATTTATGGGGAACCACTAATGGTAGGTCAATGATATTTGGTATGCATTTGTATAAACATTGGCATATCTCATTATCATGGAGATTATTTAGCCCCGCCCCCTCAGTCATGCTCTATTGACTTTGAAACTTTTACTTAGTTTTCATGTATTAGTTTGTGATTAGGTCAGTTTATGGGGAACCACTAGTGGTAGATCAATGATATTTGGTATGCAGTTGTATAAGCATTGGCATATCTCATTTCCATGAAGATTATTTGGCTCTGCCCCCTCAGTCATGCTCTATTTACTTTGAAACTTTTCCTTAGTTTTCATGTATTAGTTTGTGATTAGGTCAGTTTAAGGGGAACCGTTAGTGGTAGGTCAATGATAATTGGTATGCAGTTGTATAAGCATTGGCGCATCTCATTTCCATGGAGAATATTTGGTCCTTACCCCTCAGTCATGGTCTATTGACTTTGAAATTTTTGCTTAGTTTACATATATTAGTTTGTGATTAGGTCAGTTAAAGATGAACCTCTAATGTTAAGTCAAGGATACTTGATATGCAGATGTATTGGAATTTGCAAGTTTCATTTCCATGGAGATTATATTACCTCACCCCCTCATTATGGTTCATCGACTTTTACATAGTTTACAAGTTAATGTTTGTGTTTAGCTTTGTTTAAAGGGAACAACTTATGAAAAGTCAATGGTATTTGGTATGCAGTTGTATTAGCATTGGCACAGCTCATTTCTATGGAGATGGTTAACCCTGTAACTTCAGTCATGGTTCATTGACTTTGAATATTTGCATAACTTGCATGTTAAAGTATTGCAATTTTAAATTCAACAATTGCATTATCAAAATAACAAATAGGCGAGACATATCTCTGTGTTAACATTTTATTAAAAATTAATCTTGATTTGATTGGAATGTAGATTAATATTATACTCTTGAAAATCTTTTTGACTTTGTTTAATTCTGCACCTTACCCCTCAGTAAATGAATGGTTGGTATACTACAAGTAGTTTAAGACATACTTGATGTAAATGACTTCTCCTGTGTTGCTACTTTCATTTGCACTTTTCCAATGTTCATCTGGTATAAATATTCAATATTGATATAAACATATAAATCAGGATCTTGTATTGCTGTTCAGAATTTTTGTCTATTATAGTTTTCAAAGAAGAAAGCAAAATCACTAAAATGTAGCAAAAAATTGTTATTTAAGGACAGTATCTCCTCTAAGGGTCAATTTATCATTTCAGTCTAATTGCATTTTTGTAGATCTTGTATTGCTAATCATTATTACTTATAACAATATTATAGTTTATTATAGTTTTGAAGATGATAGGCAAAAATGTTAAATGAAGAACAATATCTCCTATAAGGAGCCATGAATTGGTTTCAGTAATATTTGTCGAAAAAGCGAGACATAGCGATCCTACATTCCGTCGGCGGCGGCGGCGTCCACAAATATTCACTCTGTGGTTATAGTTTTTGAAATTTTAATAACTTTCTGAAACTATCCTGGATTTCTACCAAACTTGGACAGAAGCTTGTTTATAATCATAAGATAATATCCAAAAGTAAATTTTGTAAAAAAAAAATCCATTTTTTCCGTATTTTACTTATAAATGGACTTAGTTTTTCTGCCAGAAAACATTACATTCACTCTGTGGTTAAAGTTTTTGAAATTTTAATAACTTTCTTAAACTATCTTGGATTTCTACCAAACTTGGACAGAAGCTTGTTTGTGATCATAAGATAGTATCCAGAAGTAAATTTTGTAAAAAAAAAAATAATTTTTCAGTATTTTACTTATAAATGGACTTAGTTTTTCTGCCAGGTGACATTACATTCACTCTGTGGTTAAAGTTTTTAAAATTTTAACAACTTTCTTAAACTATCTTGGATTTGTACCAAACTTGGACAGAAGCTTGTTTATAATTAAAAGCTAGTATCTAGAAGGAAATTTTGTTAAAAATTTGTTCCATTTTTTCCTTATTTTACTTATAAATGGACTTAGTTTTTCTTCCAGTTAACATTACATACAGTCTGCAGTTTAAGTTTTTAAAACATTTATTAGATTCATAAACTATCCTGGATTTTTACCAAACTTGGACAGAAGCTACTTACAATCAAAAGATAGTATAGAGAGGAATATTTTTATTAATTTTTTTCCTCATTTTTGTAGATCTTGTATTGTTGTTGATTTTAATGTTCACTTTCTGTCTACCTGTCAAAATTTTCAAGATGATAGGCAAAAAAGGTAAAATTTGTTAAAGAAGTCATTTAAGGACAATAACACCTGTAAGGTAGAGGAGGGACGACAGTCAAGGTGTCATGTGCAAAACTTTTCATGTCACGTGGTACGATTTCAGCTTCCGTTTGGCAATTTTAAATTTTGTAAAAGATCGATTTGAACGTATTTTAAAATCAAATGTACTCTACTGCATTTATGGAAAATATAGCAAGTTTTCACAGTGAAAGATTCATTGATGATCGAACATCACTGTTACATAAAAGAATTAATTATTTGTTTACTCTTTTTTGGTAAATTGTATCTTTGAAGATTATATTCCGTAATGGCGTGAATTTTATTTGATGTCTTTAAAAATACAAGGCTCTAGTTTTTGTTAATATTCCGTTAGTTCGCCAGTAGAAATCATTGAAATTTATAACAGTTAAAGAATATTGTTCCTACAACCTAACACTTAAAAGGTCTCCTTAAGTCTCCATCCGTTTCTGCATAGCACGACGGTAAAAAACGACGATTTTCAACTAAAATGAGAAAATATATATTTGTCAAATACGTGAGTAAATACTAACCCTTATGCATAAAAACTACATTTTTTTTGTATTTTGATTTTATTCAACATATAATGAAAATGTTTCGCCAAATAAAAACCATATTATAAAACAGCTTTTTATAATCGTGTACAATTTGTGAATTGGTCGGCTTCGTTTTCTAATCATGTGTTTTCTCGTTTTTTATTTTATATATATTTTTTTATAAATGAAGAATAAGTACAATATTAATAATTTTGTAATAAATAAAATGTGGTCCCAAATAAAACTTTAAAATCAATCAAATGAATTCTATTAATTTCCATGCCGTATGAAATAAGCCCTCGGGGATAAGCAGTTTAACACGGGGACAAGTATGACAAGTATGTATATTCCCGACAAAAAATGACAATTACCAAATTCGTTTATTATGTGTACATGGATGTATATTGTATAACCATTACAACTGTATATAACTGATTATATTTATAATCTCAGTCCACAAATTCCTAATGTCCAGGTGATGTTCACGCCACGGACTACTTGTAATAAATGACACAATCACCGTGACCGATTGATAATATAAGACAAATCTGCGTGCCGTGTGCAGAGTGTCGTCCCTCCTCTGCCTGTAAGGGGTCAATTTATCTTTTCATACTTATTGACATTTTGGTAGATCTTGTTTTGCAGGTGATGTTTTTGCTGTTTACAGTTTCTGTCTATTTGTAATAGTTTTGAAGATAATAGGCAAAACTGGTAAAATTCATTTAAAACAGTCACTCCTATAATGAGTTGATTATTAGGTTGCCCATAAAAAAATTTTTTTTTTAATTTTCCCATTTTTGCCTATTATCTTGAAAACTATAATAGGTAGACAGAAATTATCAGCAAGACAAAATCTACAAAAATGTATACATTAATGAAACAGTTATGTTGAATTTAGAAATAACTTAACTTCATCACCAATTGCTCTTGGTTTTTTTCAAATTTTCTTAAAATAGATATTTAATTTTGTTACATAGATAAAAAGGATTCTAGTGGTCCTGATTCTGATGAAGTGTCGGACTGGATTGATAATGAATTGTTTAGAATACAAAGCACTTTATCACAAGAAGTCTTTGAAGCATTAGATGAAAAGAAGCAAGGTATTTTAGTGTTATTTAGTTAAGTTGAACAATATACAGTCAACTCTTGTATCTCAAAGTTGATTGGAAGGATAAAAATGTTTTTGAGATATCACTCAGGAGTAAATATAATGCAAATCCATCTATTGGAATAGACTTTTTTCTTTGAGAAAGCAGGAATTTTCAGATAAAAGAGCAGTAAAGAAAAATTCTTGTGATAATGTGTCTTGTTTGTTCATCATATTTACTAATAGAAAACTTATACATTGTGCCTTATTTTTTTATTTTGTAATAAAGTATGTTATTAGCTCTATAAATTAATAGATATAATGTTCTTTATTGAAATATATTTTTATGGAGATATAAAAACATAATTATCTTGAATGCATAGCTTTTACTGCTGTTAGTTTGTAAACAAATTTAAATCTTTATTTGTTTTCCAGTGTCAATACCAAGTAGGTTTTTGGACAACATCATAGTTGGTTACTGTTTTTTTTATTTAAATATATTCTAATTAGTTATATGTACAACTTTTAATTATTTTTTTCAGAAAACATGAGTCCACTTTTATTTGATGATGAGAAAATTACACCCAGCACATCTAAGAAGAAACCAAAATTAAAAAAGAAAATCCAGGTACTATCTCACTTGGCCTAGCACATCTAAAAAAAAAAATACAAATTTAAATGAGATGCTTCGGATAGAAATCTACCGTATACAAATGGATATCAATACATCTGTTATCCTATTCCAGGTTGAAAAAATCTTTATGCGAAGTCTGTAACTGTTTGAAAATTGAGTTGTTATAAGAACCCTACAAAACAGACCAATATTCATCTTGTATTTTGTATTCGAATGTTCCAAAAGTAATCAAAGTGTTATACATGTGCATTTGCAGAATGTCAATTTCTATTCATTATGGTACTCTAGATTTAATCTCGCCATTGACGGCATATTGCATAATTTAACTTTATACATGTATAACCAAAAGGAGCAGTGGGAATTATGAGCTGGTAATTATACCCCCGCTTTAAACAAGTGGGGTTATACTGTTTTACCTCTGTTTGTCTGTCCATCCATCCATCCCTCAGTCAGTCCATCCGTCTGTCCGTCTGTCCCATGAATATTTTTCGTCGCATCTTTCTCAGGAACTACAATACAAGGATTTCTGAAATTTGGTTCAGGGTTTATATAAGTCAGCTATACCGTGTGATGCATTTTCAGATCCATCACTCAACAACTTCCTGTTTACCGAACACTTGTATCATTTTACACACGATAGCCAAGTTGAAAATTTTCGTCACATTTTTCTCAGGAACGTACAATACAAGGATTTCTGAAATTTGGTTTCGGGGTTTATATAAGTCAGCTGTACCATGTGATGCATTTTCAGATTCATCACTTAACAACTTCCTGTTAACCGTATACTTTTAGCGGGTGGGGGTATCATTAGCTCACAGATTTACTTGTTATTGCTATCTTTTGACCCTGTATGGATGGGACATTGAAGATGTGTGTTGGAGGCAATTGTCCCTCTCCTATAGCTCAATTTTTTAATTCCTATTCATCAGAGAGGAATGACCAAATCTATCCAAACTTTAAAAGAGAGGAAAGAAAAAGAAGTAGTCGAAAGAGCAACCAAAAAATTCTGTTAAGAGCCTATTACCGTTAAGTGGAAAATTTTCGCTTATTAAGAAATAAATAAAAAATCCTTTATGAATAAAGCCTTTTATGTAAATTTAATCTTTAGGGAACATCATATTGAGTACAAGGAAAATGCATAGTAAAACCTTGCTATTAAGTTTGACAAATTTTAGATCTGCAAACATAAATCACTTTTCAGTACTACGGAATTTGAGGAGGCTGAAATGCTTCATTTCGTTGTTGAGTTGCCATTTTAACATGGGGATTAGATACATGTTTCAGGCTTCTTAAACAACTAGTTTTCTTGTGATATCTTATTTTAATCCTGCCTATCTTATTCCTTAATGCGTCAAATTTGACTTTGGTTTTAATCTTTTGAAGATGAAAGTGGTTTAAGGGGCTGATGTCCTGAAAGTAACTATTCAGCAAAAAGACCAGCTCAACAGTTCTCATCATGTATCCATTGTCTGTCTGTTGTTGTTATCCTTCTTTTTTAGAGGACATTTCTCCTAAAACTGCTAGACTAGTAGAAATTTGATTTGTCCAGTGCTATCTATAGATTTGTAGTTTCATTTATCATTGTTTATCATTATTTTCATTTTTGAGTACAACCAAAGAAATTAACCACAGTCCTATAGATTCTGAAAGAGCAAATTTTGATAACTTCAACAATTAGGCTCCAATTATTTTAACTTCACAGTGCTATCACTGTTTTTGGTAATCACGATTATTTTTACAAATCTTATGACATGAGACAATTACACAAAGAATAGATAACACCTGAAACATGGAAATTGATAGACGAAAGAAAAGAAGTGAACAACAAAATATGTCAAACACATTCTGAGAGAATTAAGGAAAAGCTAAGAACAAAATATACAGAATGCAACAAGAAGGTAAAGATGTCGACGTACGTACAGCAACACGAAAGAACAAGAGAGATTTTATGGAAGACCTAGCAAGAGAAGCAGAAAGTGCAGCTTCAAATCAGAGAATGGGTCAGATTTACCAAGTAACGAAACAACTAAGTGGTAAAAAAGCTAATGTAAATATGCCAATTAAAGACAAAAACAACATTATACTAACAACAGAACGAGATCAATACTTAAGATGGAAGGAACATTTTCAAGAGGTTCTTAACCGAAAAGATCCAGACGAGCTAGCTATTATTCCTGAAGCACCCATAGACCTAGAAATAGATACAGATCCACCTTCAAAACCAGAAATACAGAAAGCCATTAAAAGCTTGAAAAACAAAAAGGCACCTGGCATAGACCATCTAAATGCAGAACTTTTAAAGATAGATACAGTGCTAGCAGTGGATACTTTACACCCAGTATTCCAGAAAATGTGGGAACAAGCTATTATTCCTAACAGTTGGTCTGAGGGAAACATAATAACAATACCAAAATCAGGAGACTTAACTAATTGTAACAACTGGAGAGGAATCACCTTACTATCCATTCCAAGTAAGGTCTTCTGCATAATTTTAATATCAAGAATCATACACGCTGTGGATAAGAAACTACGACAAGAACAAGCTTGGTTTAGAAAAGGTAGAGGTTGCATAGATCACATATTTGTCTTACGAAACATCTTAGAACAGTGCCATGAGTGGCAGAGAAAACTATTTGTAAATTTTGTGGACTTCAAAAAAGCCTTTGACAGCTTACACTGGGAAAGTCTTTGGGAAATTTTGAGAAGCTATGGAATACCGAGTAAGATAGTACAACTCATCAAGCAGTTCTATACAAACTTCTCATGTACCATCAACTCTGAAGCTGACACTTGTTTCCTTGTAAAATCGGGAGTAAGGCAAGGATGTGTTATGTCATCTGTACTTTTTATAATTGCCATTGATTGGGTAATGAGAACAACCCTAGCAGAAAGTAACACTGGACTGAGATGGACCCTATGTACCACGCTTGAGGACACAGACTATGCTGATGATTTAGCACTTTTATCGCATACCGAAGATCATATGCAGGAGAAGACCAAAAAGCTAGAAGAAAATGCTAAAATGATTGGACTTAAGACCAATGCCAAAAAGACAAAGTTAATGTACCTCAACACAGAGAGACACCCTGTCATATTTGTAGAAGGGAAACAGCTGGAAACAGTAGACTCATTTAATTACCTAGGAAGTTGTATAACAACAGAAGGTGGTGCTGAAAGAGATATAAAGATCAGAATAGGAAAAGCTAGATCAGCATTCATTAGATTAGAGAACATCTGGAAAACAACAGCCTTTTCAAAGAAGACCAAGCTCAGACTATATAACAGCTGTGTATTATCTGTACTCCTATATGGCTCAGAGTGCTGGAGAATGACTGATAAAGACATCAACAGACTCTCCAGCTTCCATAACACATGTCTGAGGAAGATAATGAAAATATTCAACAAAGACTTGCATGAGATTACCAGCACCATGGACATGGAGACTTTGCTGATACAAAAGAGATGGAGGTGGCTTGGTCATGTTCTACGCAAACCATCTGAAGACATGACCAAGGTAGCCCTTAGATGGACACCAGAAGGAAAAAGAAAAAGAGGAAGACCTAAAACAACATGGAGACGCACTATAGAAAATATATTAAAGGAAAGAGGATATACCTGGGGCACAGTGGAAAAAAAAGCAAACAACAGAGAAGAGTGGAGGAAACTTGTCCTTGCCCTATGTGCCATAAGGCATAGCAAGGACTAAGTAAGTAAGTATGACATGAGATGGAGCAAGAGGATCTCCATAATCTCTAATTTCAATATTATGACACACTAGCTTTGTGCTAATCAATATATATATATATACATTACATTTCATTTTTATGTTACAGAATAAAAAGAAACTTCAGTATGATGTAGAAGAGTTCTATATTGATGATGAAATAAATCCTGATACACATAAATTAAGTCAAAAGCCCCCAGAATATCGAAACACCAATTCAAACAAAAAGCATCCAGATTATATTAAACCACTCCGAGATCAATACCACAAATCAGAATACAGTAGAGTTGTTGAAATGAAACAGAAATCTGCTTCTTTAAAAGATGACTTCTATAGTAAAGAAAAAAAGAGAATTAGTAAACAATCAGAAAATCAACAATGGCAATCTTACAATGATAGCTATAACCCAAATTACAGCAAACGGGATGAGTTCTTCAGGCATAACAATAACATGCAACCAGAATACAAACATAAACAGTATGATAGTGATATTAGCTCAGATTCAATGAAGTTGGAAAACTCCAGAAATAAACAGCTTCAGAAACTACATACATCCTTCCATTCGGTACCACAATGTTACAATGAATCAGGTGGTAAGAAAAGATAACCTACATAACTTTACTTCAGAATACATATTTGTTTAAAACATTAATATATGATTCAGGGTTGTTAATTACTTAGGAGGCAAATGTTTTAATTTTTGTCTTGTCTTGACGGAGTCAAAAAGCAAGACAGGTATGCCGTTTCTGGCGGTGGCGGCGGCGTCAACAATGCATTAGTTTGTGATTAGGTCTAATTTATGGTGAACCACTAGTGGTAGGTCAATGATATTTGGTGTGCAGTTGTATTAGCATTGGCACATCTCATTACCATGGAGATTATTTGGCCCCACACCCTCAGTCATGGTATATTGACTTTGAAAATTTGCTTAGTTTACATGTATTAGTTTGTGATTAGGTCAGTTTATGGGGATCCACTAGTGGTAGGTCAATGATATTTGGTATACAGTTGTATAAGCATTTGCATAATCCATTTCCATGGAGATTATTTGGCTCCGCCCCCTCAGTCATGGTCTATTGACTTTGAAACTTTTATTTAGTTTACATGTATTAGTTTGTGATTAGGTCAGTTTAAGGGGAACTGTTAGTGGTAGGTCAATGATATTTAATATGCAGTTGTATTAGCATTGGCACATCTCATTTCCATGGAGATTATTTGACCCTGCACCCTCAGTCATGGTCTATTGACTTTGAAAATTTGCTTAGTTTACATGTATTAGTTTGTGATTAGGTCAGTTTATGGGGAACCACTAGTGGTAGGTCAATGATATTTGGTATTTAGTTGTATAAGCATTAGCACATCTCATTTCCATGGAGAATATTTGGTCCTTACCCCTCAGTCATGGTCTATTGACTTTGAAACTTTTGCTTAGTTTAGAAGTATTAGTTTGTGATTAGGTCAGTTTAAGACGAACCACTAATGTTAAGTCAATGATATTTGATTTGCAAGTTTCATTTCCATGGAGATTATATAACCCTGCCCCCTCATTATGGTTTATTGACTTTGAAACTTTTACATAATTTACAAGTTAATGTTTGTGTTTAGGTTTGTTTAAAGGGAACGACTTATGAGAAGTCAATGGTATTTGATATGCATTTGTATTAGCATTGGCACATCTCATTTTCATCGGGATTGTTTAGCCATGTACTTTTAGTCATAGTTCATTGACTTTGAATATTTGCATAACTTACATGTTAAAGTATTGCTATTTTAATTTCAACATTTGCATTATCAAAATAACAAAAAGGCGAGACATATCTCTGTGTTAACAGTTTATATTGAACCATGTCAACTCTTTGTAGTGTATTACTATCTTCATAGCTCAGAAAAAACCCTGCATATTGCAAATTTAATTTTACTGATAGAATTGAAGAAATATAAGTTTAAATTTTGCAGATTTCATGTTAAAAGAATGTATTTTGAGACAGCATTAGTTTCAAAGTATCCTACAGTATCTAACTTAATAGTTATGAATAAACAGAATTGAAGGGTATATGTGTTAATGAGACAAAAACCCAAGGACACAAAAAAAAACCCCCAAAAAAACCATTTAGATGTCAACATTAGGTCTTTAACCATAGTAGATGCCATAGATTAAAATTAATAGCACAGAAACTCATTTCAAGGGCAAATCAAATGTAATAAAAAGTACAATTGATTTTTAAAAAATATATTAAGAAATAGTATTTTCCATACAAATTGCACTAAAAATGCTAGTTATAAGCATAAGTGTGAAATTCAAGAAATTTACTCTTTTGTTTAAATTCCTTTTTAAAATAAACATCAGTTTTATGCCTTTAGAGATTTAGCAAATGTGCAGATTTAACATTTTTCTATTGGTAATAATTTCAGATGCCACTAAAACCTACCCTCAGGAAGTTGATGAAGATACTTATCCAAGAATTATAGCAGTAACTTCAGAAACAGATCAACAGAAGTTGAAGGTATAAACAAACTTGGTAGCATAGTGTTCTTTCATGCTGTATGTTAGCATTTTAAAGCAGTGCAATTTGCTGACTGTAGCCCCATGTCAATGTTCAGGTTCTGATTTTGGTATAGAACACTGGATAATGATCTAAGATTAGCATTGATATTTTAAAGATGTGTACTAAAACAGGATAAACCATTATTGGTTTAAAAAATTCATTGATTGCTATAAGAAAAATCAAATTAAGTCTGTCCTTGATGGATGGATGAGTGAATAATGTATGTGACAAAAAAGTTAAGAGTTTTACTTTATAAAAAAATTTCTGAGACAAGAATATCCTTTTGACCTCTGAAAAGGAGTAAGGATTTAAGGGGTAAAGTTGGCCTTAAAATATTTTTTTTTTTTAATCAGGCCAAAATACTACGAATTTCACTCCAAAATAGTTGCAATAATACTTTTAATACAAATGACTTCTTTTTGGCACATCACATTAAAAATAATGAAAAAATGACCCCTCAAGTACTGTAAATTCAGAAATCATTGCATGCATTTATTATTGCGATTTTGTCATTTTAGTCTAAAATGCGATTTGAATTTATGCGATATTGAGAAAAACCTGTTTAATACCTATAAAAAAATTAATAATGCAAGTTTAAATTATTGCGATTAAAACCCTGTCGCATTTTTCGCAATAATAAAAACATTGCAATAATTTCTAAATTTACAGTATGCATTATTTGTGTTGTAACGTCAGTTTTGGTCAGTTTTGAACATAATTTACTTTGGCTGCCACCCCTGATCCAGAAAGTTTTTGTGTCTAGTGATTCAATGCCGTCATTGGCAACTTTTGGCGAAAGAACATTTTGGATCCTATGTTGCGACCAAGGGTTTCCTCAAGCTTTAAGATCAGAAAAAAAATGCACAAAATCTTCGTTTTTTGACAATATATCCAAAATGTGCTGATTTTGAAGCCTAGAATTACTCTAATGAAGAGATTTGTTTAACCTAGTAGTAAGGCTTTTGAAATAGATTCATTTAAGAACCAAAGTATGGCCATTTTGATATTTTACTATAAAGTTGAATTTCAAGGCCATATTTGTGAACCTTGTCCTTTGACACCTATGTCTCAGATCATTTATGTAATTATTGTTTCTCCCTTCTTTTTTGGTCGAAAAAATTTAAGAAGTAACAATACTAATTGTTATATATTTGCTATATAATAATACAATCCAGTTTCTATAACTAATTTATTAACAAGTACATCATTTGATGGTCAGACTACAGAATGACAACATGTGTATAAGAACTTCAATTGATCTATTTAATTATGTTTATTTAAGAACGTGCAGACATGTGAGAGTTGCTGATCTGTCAATTATAATTACTGTAACAGATGATATGGTAATAAAGTGCGGGGAACTTTATAACACTAGTCTTCAGGCAACAGTGGCAGCTTTAGCAAATTGTGTATTGCAATATATTTTAGAAGATAGAAAAACAAGACATTATATTTTAATGTATGATGTATTGTCTGAATTTTCAGTCTGGCATGCATTTCACTAGTCCTTTTTATACCCCCACTACGAAGTACTGGGTGGAATAAAGTTTTTGACAAGTCAGTCATTTTGGTTTCACTGAACCAGTACACAATTTTATTTAGGGGCCAGCTGAGGACCACCTCTGGGTGTGGGATTTTTTCGCTGCATTGAAGACCCATTGGTGGCCTTCAGCTGTTATCTGCTCTTTGGTCAGGTTGTTGTCTCTTTGACATAATCCCCATTTCCAATCTCAATTTTATTCTGGATGCTAACTCAAACACTTTATATCGTTTTTAAACATAATGTCAGGGACCCTAATATACACAGCAAGTTTAATTTTGACAGTGAACATTTACCATTCAAGAGTTTAATCTGCAATCAATAGCTCACCCATTTATAGTTTTAACCTAGACCTTAAAGACTTTTAATGTATTTTTATTATTGGTCTTATATTCATAATCATTACTCAAGAGACTTTTCTGTGAGTCTGCTTTTGATACCTAATATTTTCACAATAATTCAACTTCCCATTGTTTTAGAATAAAGTGGATGAGAAAGCAGCATTTGCCAGTACTGTCATTGTTGAAACAAGTACCATATATCCTGACCAGCATCGTGTCACACACACCCTTACAGATTTGGCTGATGGTACAACTAGTACACTGTATGGTAAAAATGTGAAGGCTTCAAGACTTTTGTCAGCTCTGATTACTCAGTAAATACAAAGTTAACACTGCAGCAATTGGTGAAAAGTTTTAAACTTAACTGGTATCAGCTACAACTATGTACTAATTGTGTTCAAGCTTATACCAAATGCAAGCATATTCCAAGTATGTTCAAGCATACACTGATTGTAATCAATCATTTATTTAACATTTGATTATATTATATTTTGTAATTAGTGGGTTATATATGATAATACAGTGAGGTGCTTAACTATAAGGTCAAATAAGGCAATTGCATGGTAGTGGGTACTCAATGATAAAACCATTTATTTTGCCTGACCATTTGGCCGTTGGGAAACTGGAAGATAAGGTTTTCAGTAACAGATTTTCAAGACTTGTTGCAGAAATATATTCTGTTAATGACAATGAACAAGCTAAGCTATGAATGTATAGACTACAAGGGAGACGTTAAACAAAAATTAATACCCAACTTGTCAAAAAATAGATGGACATGCTCAGGGTTAAGTTGGAAGCCTGTAGTCCTTAAGAAAACTGAGGATTTATATAGCCTACCAAAAAGTTGTATACTGAAAGCAATTATTTTGGACCAGTTGCACAAAGTGCAACCTAGCTTATAACTATGGTTGATGGGTTGGTATATAAGGATGCTTATTTTGTGCAATCAACCCCTCCTATGGTTTTCATAGAATAAACCTTCAAACTTTCTATAATGGAGATGTGCTCATTTTGTGCACATATTTTCCCTTATCATATGGATAATTTATGCAGATTTTCAAGATTGTGAAACATTGAAGCTTTGCACCTTACTTTTAACATGTACACATTTGTATTATTCTTTTAGTTTTCCAGATGTAAAACATTGAAAATTATCACCTCATTTTGTGTACAAATTTGTACATTTTTTGCAAATTTCCAGAACTAAGCTAATATTCAGCAACATCTTCCATGGAGGGTTACTATTTTGTGTAATTTTGTCCTACAATTTTAAACCATAGCCCTCAACCTTTTTAGAATATTTGTGTATACAATGTAGAGGTGTAACACGCATACCTTATGATATGTTGATATAAATGTTTTGGAGCCTACTTTAGTGAGGACTTTAACCCCATATACATCCACTTATGCCTTCAGATGTCTTTAGGGTATTTTGTGTTGAGTTGCTGTCTCCGTGATGTATAACCCACATCTCCTTCCATTCACTTTTCATGTTATATGATTCAATCAATCAGATTTCTTCCTCTCCAATTTTACTGCCATCAGGTGAGACATCACTTGTTCCTAGTCCATTGCTTGTACAAGTCAGCTCGACATTTTTTATTGGTCAGTTATATTAATTTTTGGGCAAGTTCATTGTAATACAGTGTCATTTTAGGAGTAAATGTTCTGTTGTGTCCTTCAATGTTACTTTTTATGTAATACACAAAAACTATTCTTTAAAACATTTTCCCGATATTGTTGATGAATTGTTCATATAGGTATCATTTTTCAACATTTTACCTTCTCTCCATTTTAGTCAAACATGAATCTAAGAGGTTAAATTTAGATTTCAACACCTGGAAATTTTTATTGAAGAATACTGTGTTACTTGTATTTATTAATACAAATGGATTGTTGTTTTATTGATTTTCAATCAGTTGTTATATATTGTTACTTATCATGTGATATAATATGTGATTTACTTATACAATGTTCTACTATTTAAATTGTGATAGTGCTGTTATTTTATATCTTATCTTGTTGAATTGTATACAACTTGTTACATAATAAAAAGGAAATTAAGTAAACAATTGTCATGCTTAAATTACCTTATGCATTGGACCATGAAGTTTAAATACCAATGTTTCAAATAAATTCAGTTTAAACTTTTATACAGGCACTTTCAATTATTATCTGTAGGGTATTATTACACCAATTTTGGATCTGTCACTTTTCTGCATACGTGTATATTCTTCACATTCATACACATAAAAGAAATTTGATGCATTTTTCTCAGCAACTACAAATTAGCTTCTTGATCTGTCAATTGGACATTTTACAGTCACAAATGCAGTTTTACTGGCAAGGCGTATAGCGGAGACAGTAAAACAGATATATGTGACCTTCAAATCAAAATTGACGGCAGCAACTCATCAACTACAGTACTGTTATTCCAATTCTGATGTATTACAAAAATGATATGTTAGAGCTTAAACAAGAGTGCTCACCCTGAAATGTCTTGCCTGATTTACTTATAATTGAATTTATGTTGACAGTCTGTAATATGAAGGTTTTATTACAAGTATCACATAAAATTAACATTATCAATGATCCATGAAAATGAGGTGACAGTCAGATGAACCATGCCTGACAGACATGTACACCTTACAATCATTCCAGACACCAAATATAGTGTCAATATTGCTTATAGTATTTGAGAAATAGACCAAACCACAAAAACTAAACACTTTCCAATGAACCATGAAATTGAGGTCAAGGTCAGATGAAACCAGTCAGTTACCTTACAATCATTCAATACACTAAATATAGTTGACCTACTGCTTACAGTATAGTATCTGAGATACAGACTTGACCATGATACTTTAACCTTGATCACAGATCCATGAAATGAGGTCAAGGTCAGGTGAACCCTACCTGACTGACAAGAAGACCTTGCAAGGATCCCATGTACCAAATATAGTTATCCTATTCCGCCTAAACTGTTGACACAGAGATATGTCTCACGGTTTGTTATTTTGATGGTATAAGGCAAATGTTGAAATTAAAATGGCAATATTAAAACATGTAAACTATGTAAATCATTCAAAGTCAATGAACCATGACTGAAGGAGCAGGGCCAAATAACTTCCTTGAAAATGTGAAATGCCAATGCTTATAAAACTGCTTACCAAATACCATTGACTTATCATAAGTGGTTTCCTTTAAACTAACCTCAACACAAACTTAAACTTGTAAACTATGTAAAAGTTTCAAAGTTGATGAACCATGATGAGGGGATGGGGCCATATAATCATAAATCTCCATGGAAAATAGACTTGCAAATGCCAATACAACTGCATACCAAATATCATTGACTTAACATTATTCATTCATCTTAAACTGATCTAATCAGAAACATTCAAGTGTAAATAATGCAAAACATTTAAAATCAATGAACCATGACTGAGGGGGTTGGCAAGCAATCTCCATGAAAATGAGATGTGCCAATGCAAATACATCTGCATACCAAGTATTATTGACCTACCACTATAAGTTCCCCTTAAACTATCCTTATCTCAAACTAAAACATGTAAACTGAGCAAAAGTTTATAAGTCAATAGACCATGACTGAGGGGTTAGGGCAAAATAATCTTCATGGAAATGAAATATGCCAATGCTTATACAACTGCATACCAAATATAATTGACCTACCACTAATGGATCCCCTTAAACTGACAATCACTAACCAATACATGTAAACTAAGCAAAAGTTTCAAAGTCAATAGACCATGACTGAGGGGGCAGGGCCTAAAAAACTCTAAGGAAATGAGATGTACCAATGCTAATACAACTGCATACCAAATATCGTTGACCTAGTACTAGTGGTTCCCCATAAATTTTACTTCATCGCAAACTAAATGCATTGTTAACATTGCCTATGCCGACACTGTCAAAAACAGCATTTTAAGTCTTGATTTTTCAACTTTGTCGACACAAGACAATAATAAGTGAGTTATTTACAAGACAAAAAAAAAAAAGGAATATTTTTTTCAAACAGTCACTGAAACCATGAAAATGAGGTCCAAGGACAATGGACATATGCCGGAAAGAAACTTTGTAACATAAAGTATCTGCATACAAGGTATAAAGCATTAAATACTTTCTACCTTCTGAAATATAAAGCTTTATACAAATAGTTTACACTGTTGCTGCCACTGGCAAGTAATCCCTGTTTCTCATTCTGCCACTTTCATTTCAGGCAAAACAAAGTTGGTCTAAAATCACACCATAATTTTGGAGTATATGGATAGCAAATCAAATTTTCTCTTCTTATGATTTTCTGGATACTTAACACATATTCTTGCATTTTACTCTTAGGTTCTATTTATAGTAATGGCAGCCATGTAGGATTATGACAATTTGGTTTCCCAGGTGAAAATAAACAAAAATAATTACAAAATGATGTTAAGTGATGGCAATATCTCACTGGGTACTGGCCCTTTAGGTGAGGTGCATGTCCCAAGTCAGGAGCCTGTAATTAAATGGTTGTCGTTTGTTGCTGTATATCATATTTGTTTTTCGTTCATTGTTTTGTATATAAATCAGGCCATTAGTTTTCTTGTTTTGAATTGTTTTATATTTGTCATTTCGAGCCTTTTATAGCTGACTATGCGGTGTGGGTTTTGCTCATTGTTGGAGGCCGTACGGTGACCTATAGTTGTAAACTTCTATGTCATTTCATCTCTGGGGGAGAGTTGTCTCATTGGCAATCAAACTACATCTTCTTATTTTTATTTTAAAAGGACAATATATTAACTATATGATTTTATCAACTGTTCAGTGAGATTGATATTGGACATATCAAAGAGTCAACGAACACTAAGGTTAACAAGTTTCGAAGACAAATTTGTTACTGCTCCAGCAAACAAGGCCCTCAACTTTGTGGTATTTACATGATAAAAAGGACACTGAAAGTACAGTTCAAAAGTTCCAAGTGGTGAAGTTGAAATAATCTCTTCATTAATTTTACGGACGCCATCACGAGTTGGTTGACGGTTATGGAATATCTGTTTCACAAATGAAGACTGATATGTTCCAATTGTTGTTACTACAATTCATTCCCCTTTCCAAGAATGTGACCTACCAAATTAGACTTATCACCAGGTTTGTACTGACATGAGCAACATGATGGGTGCCAAATGTGGAGCAGGATCTGCTTACTCTTCTGGAGCACCTGTAATCACCCCCAGTTTTAGTGGGGTTCGTGTTCCTTAGTCTTTAGTTTTCTATGTTGTGTTTTTGTACTGTTGTTTGTATGTCTTTTTCTTTTTTAACCATGGCGTTGTCAGTTTCTTTTCCATTAATGAGTTTGAATGTCCCTTTGTTATCTTTCACCTATCTTTTTAAACTTTTATATACTGGTACATGTACATTGTACCATTATGGCTATACCTAGGTAGATACTTGTGACTTACAATATAAAAATAAGAAGATGTGGTATGATTATTGTTTTGTACATTAATCAGGTTGCTAGTTTTCTGGTTTGAATTGTTTTACATTTCTCATTTAGGGGCCTTTTATAGCTTGCTATGGGGTGTGGATTTTGCTCATTGTTGAAGACTGTACAGTGACGTATAATTGCTAACTTCTACGTTAGTGGTGGAAAGTTGTCTCATTTGCAATCATACCTCATCTTCTTACTTATTATTGTATCAAGGTCACTAGGTTCTAACATTAATTTATGGTACATTTGTAACAAGAAGGTCATAAAGTGAAGTAGGTCACTAAGATGTCAGCTCCTTGACAAATAAAAAAACAAGGGTTTCGTATTTTCTTTATATTCTTAATACAGAAAGCTAATAAATAGCCTTAACATTATTAGATCTAATCAAATTCGAAATGCTAGATCACAAATGAGACTGTAATGTTATGATATATTTATAAATGACATTACATCTATACACACGCTAACAAGAGAAAACAGATATATCACAAGTTACAGGAAGAAATGTTCTATAAATAGTTCTAGATGTGGTTTAAGGTAACTTAGGTTCTGTGGCTGTACCCTGAAAAACATCAAAAGTATAGGTCAGTCAATATGGTTTTCATTTTCTTATACATTTGTATTTGACTCATATAACACATTCTTAACTTTTATCCAAATAAATGGTTGATGTCTGTAACTTTATTCTTTCTTTTACAAGTCTATCAAATTCTGACCAAATTGCAATAATGCCAATTGTAAGCTTATAAAATTGAAAATCAGCAAAAAAGAATTTTATTGAATGAGAACTTATTTAGCTGATATGTTTAATTGAAGTATACTCCAGAACTCCATGTTACCATTTACTGTTACATAACTGTAAAACAATGTATGATTTCTGATAGACCACCACCTTTTTCCAATTGGAATAGTGGATCAGTGGAATAACCTGTCAGATTTAACTGTGATGGCAAGGTTTAGAATGCATTTATAACATGTATGTCTGCTTTAAATAAAGAGAACTGGAATCTTCATGTATATGCAGACTATGTCAGTACGTATGATGAACTACTTTTACGGTACGATTGCACAAAATGCAACATACATTTAGAAACAAATTTCATAATATGCTCTATGACTGGGTCAATTTACCTTGGACATTCATGTGCACCCTGTCATTTTGTTGCCAAAACAATGCCTGAAGGCATCGTTTGGAGTATGGAATGCAATTTCTTGAGGCCATGTTGGGTACGAGCCAGGTGATTCCTCAAGGCATCATTTGGAATATATGGGTTCAAAATATTTCCAAGTCATTGAATTGAAATGACTGTAAGTGCATAGTTTGCATAGATAATTAATATGTATCTTATACAAAGAAATGGTTAATATTTACCAACTTGAATCTTATCCATTTGTTAAATCTTTTAAGCTATGCATTTACCAGCTTTTTCATCCTGCTTATAATATAGATATAAAAAGATGTGGTATGATTGCCAATGAGACAACTCTCCATCCAAGTCACAATTTGTAAAAGTAAACCATTTAGTTTACTGTTTTTATTGTGTTTTTGCTTTGATACCGAGCTTATTGTGCTTATAAAAATCT